CTAGTCTATAGTCTAGTCTATAGTCTAGTCTATAGTCTAGTCTATAGTCTAGTCTATAGTCTAGTCTAGTCTATAGTTTAGTCTATAGTCTAGTCTATAGTCTAGTCTAGTCTATAGTTTAGTCTATAGTCTAGTCTATAGTCTAGTCTATAGTCTAGTCTATAGTCTAGTCTATAGTCTAGTCTATAGTCTAGTCTACAGTCTAGTCTATAGCCTAGTCTATAGTCTAGTCTATAGTCTAGTCTATAGTCTAGTCTATAGTCTAGTCTATAGTCTAGTCTATAGTCTAGTCTATAGTCTAGTCTATAGTCTAGTCTATAGTCTAGTCTATAGTCTAGTCTATAGTCTAGTCTATAGTCTAGTCTATAGTCTAGTCTATAGTCTAGTCTATAGTCTAGTCTATAGTCTAGTCTATAGTCTAGTCTATAGTCTCTATAGTCTAGTCTATAGTCTAGTCTATAGTCTATTCTATAGTCTAGTCTATAGTCTAGTCTATAGTCTAGTCTATAATCTAGTCTATAGTCTAGTCTATAGTCTAGTCTATAGTCTAGTCTATAGTCTAGTCTATAGTCTAGTCTATAGTCTAGTCTATAGTCTAGTCTATAGTCCTGTCTATAGTCTAGTCTATAGGCTTGTCTATGGTAGTTAGTCGATAGCCTAGCCCACCATGTCATCAGGATACCCATGATATCCACCACATATTCCACTGTATAGCCCACCCTACTGTTTTCTTAAAAGCAATTTACATATTTCTAGTAAAAATTCAAGTTATTACAGTTTGTAATGCATCTCATAATTTAGTCTGAAAAGTATTAAATATTAAGCTTCTCTAATTTTAATTAAAGTTTTTCAAATATGTTTTTTAATGAAAATAACACAAAAACTTAAAAAATCCTATTAAGATTTAAAGAGAGATCTTACATCCCTCTCTTCTTAGTTGAAAAGAAAAACAAAAGACTTAAGCAACAAACTTGCTCAAGCATAATAATCAAGAGATGAAAACTTAATAGTTATAGTCAACTAATGATCATTATTACAAAAGCCCTTTTAAAAACGAAAAGCAGAGAAAAAACGAGAACTAAAATCAAAAGACAAACAAATAAAAATTACAAAAAAAATAACTACAATAAATTTCAAATGAGAAAGAAGAAAAAATAAAAAAATTTACTTTTTGCTCTCTGCCTGTTATAACAATGCAATCTCAGCATATTGATCGTAAACAACAACAAACAACCTGTTGTTTTGAGAAGAAGAAAAAGCATTAATAATACAACAACCAAAAAGACGTGGCTTTTTATTATTATAAGTATATTTATTGTTAAAGTGGGGTTTTTGTTGTTGTAGTTGTTGCTATTAACTGGGTTTTTGTGTAAGATACACTTATAGAGACGGGGTTTAATACACTATTTTTGACCAGTCTTATACAAAACGTTCAAGGCGAAGGTTGTGAAAAAGTTAGATTAAAACTATAAAAGAAAGATAATTTAAAAAACTACTAATTTATAATTAATTAATATAAAAAAATATAAGGTAAGTTAACAAGTGGTATTAAGAAAAAAGTTAATATATATAAAATAACAAAAAGAATTAAATATTTTGAAAACATATAAAAAGAAAATTAGACTATAAAAGTTGAAATGGAATTGTATATTTTTGGTTTAAAACCCAAATTAAAATATTAGCATAACAATTACAAATTCAATTCAAATTGCCTTACTTTTTTATTAATTTCTTAATTATTCATTCATTAAACAAATTCATGTATTCTTAAAGATATTTTCAAAAACTATTCTTTTTTACATATTTTTCAATGACGTGGAAGTTTTATTCATTCCATTATTTACTAGTATGTACATCATTGTTCCCTCTTTTCCTTATTAATTTTTTTTTTCGTGTATATGTTCATTAATGATCATTATTATTTAGCTGCTGCTTCTAGTTACATTTTCTTCTTTATCTTTTGTAGTTTTTTTCTTCATCTTGTGTTCCTCTTCTCTTCGACATTGAACTTAAATAAACTTTATTTTATGTATGAGATGTTTTCAATATGTATCTGTCATTTAGTTTCCCATACATACATATATATATATAAATTATTTACTGACAACAACAAATTCAAAACATCTAAAAAAAATTTCATAACAATTTGATTTTTTTTTAGTCAAAAAAATTTTGTTTTTGTTTTTTTAGTGAAAGTGTTAAATTGGACTTTGTTTTAACAGACTTCTTCAATTTTTTGTTTTGGTATTTTATAAATTTTAGTGTTTCTGTTTGTAGTTATTGTATTTGTTGTTGTATTATCAATACTTTAACATGACAAAGGTATTGTATTACAAATACGTCTTAACCCGTTAAAGTCCATATAAAAATAATAATTTGGGACAAATAGCAAACATAAAGCTATGTATAGGCGGCTGTCAGAGTTTACAATATTGTCAGATCAGGCAGCTTTATATAGGCGGCCGTCAGATCTTACAATGTTGTCAGATCTTGCCATGTACAGACAATAAAATATTGTTAGCAACAAGTTAATTCTTAGTTCGGACGATTTTAAGAAAACCTTACAATTTCATTACCAGACAATTGTCAGATTATATGCCAACAAAAATTGTCAGTTTAAATTGTTGTCAGATTGTTGTATGAGAAATATTTTAAAAGAATATTGCACTCGAAATTTTAATCTTATCTTAAAAATTTCTGATAGAATTATTCAAGATTGTGATCATGTGTTCCTCAGACAATTGATTTCAACAAACACACATACTGTATAACTCGCTACAAATTTGGGATAAATAGCAAACATAAAGCTATGTATAGACGGCTGTTAGATCTTACAATGTTGTCAAATCTGGCAATATACTGACAATAAAAAATTTGTTAGCAACAGGTCTGTTCAGACTATTATAAGAAATCCTTACTAAAATTGTTGCTAAATAGCTAACATAAAGCTATGAACAGACGGCTGTCAGATCTTACAATGTTGTCAAATCTGGCAATATACTGACTATAAAAAATTGTTAGCAACAGGTCTGTTGAGACTATTATAAGAAAACCTTACTAAAATTGTTGCTAAATAGCAAACATAAAGCTATGAACTGACGGCTGTCAGATCTTACAATGTTGTCAAATATGGCAATATTCACACAATAAAAATTGTTAACAGGTCTGTTCAGGCTATTATAAGAAAACTTTACAGTTTCATTTCCAGACAATTGTCCGATTGTCAGTTTTCACTGTTGTCAGAATGTTGTATGGCAAAAGTTGCCAGATCGTATATTATTAGCAAGTGTTGCCAATAGAAATTATTTCTCTGTCAATGATGACATTATGAAATGCATAAAATTTCCACATCTGACAATAAAATTTGTCAGATAATAATCTTACAATGATCTGACAATGGCAGCGTTATGTGTTTACACGATTGTCAGATGTTTGACAATATTATTTAATTACAATCTACTGGCTATGATTTCTCTGACAACGTTTCAAGGAAAAATTGTATGATTCTACGATTGTTAGACATTTCTCTGACAACATTGAAGTCGATTGAAGTCAGGGATGGATGGATGAATGGAACAAAACTATCTTAAACTGATTTCATTAGTCTTTAAACCTGTCAGTAAACTAATTAATATATAAACTGTTAAGATTTTTAAATTCATTCTTTTGAATATTAAATGATCCCATAAAATTTAGAAAGTGAACCACTTTTAAAATTAACATATCAACATCATATATATCAGTCAGTTAACAAATCCCTTTAGCAGGCATGGGGGTAATGATTACACAAAGTAATTTATTACATGGTTAATTACAAGTACTTGTTATGTGTAATTGAGTAATAACCAATTACAATACTTGTAATTGTAATTGAAAATGTGTAATTGACCAATAACAATTACAAGAAATTGTAATTGGCAAAACCTCAACTACCATTACAAGTAATTGTAATTGTCAAAACTTCAATTACAATTACAAAGAATTGTAATTGGTAAAGCTTCAATTACAATTACTTCAAATGTAATTGTAATTGAAAATGTAGTCATTACCCCCAACCCTGCCCCTTAGTCATAGACTAGACTGTCTAACTATTGCCTCCCTATGGACTAGTCAACTGAGATGTCTATAAACTAGACCATTGAGTACTCTAGAGACAATAATACGTATTATATTGGTCCGACGGCTAATTCATAAGGTAGTTTATAAACTAGTCATTAGGATAGTCCAAAGTGCTCAAAATTGCACGTAAAAGAACTTTAAATTATATAAAATTTTAACTATCGGATAAAAAATGTAATCCTAACAATTTGGCGGAGACGACAAGCTTGTGAACATTGTATCAGAAGTACAAATTTAGATTACTATTTCAATAGAGAAATAAATTTAGAATAGTATAATGTGAATCATTGCTGAACAATTGGAGGACTTGTGGGGTCTTTCAACTTAACATAAATGCAGCTACATTTCTTTTAATAGCTAACAGTTTAAACACACTGTACCCTAATGGTCTGAACACACATTACAAGGGTTAACATAAGTTTGAAATCACTTATACACTCACAAACAATATTTATGCAATGTAACTTAAATATTTAACATATTTATTAAAATTACATTAAAAATAAATAAATAAAAATGTTTAAAATCAAAACTTAAGAAAACAGAAAATCGCTTAAACTCACAAAACAAAACACCATGACATAGAAACACACAAAATGTTTTTTTGTTAAGAAATCATTTTTCTGTTTAATAAAAACAAAAACAACAAAAATTAATAAGAGAGTAAAATGTAAAAATAAATTTAAACAAGTTTGCATAATTTAAACCAAAAAAAAATTATATAATTTTTTTTACCAAAAACCTTAATAAATACCAAAAACAGAAGAAGACATAAGTATTTTAAATAAAAAAATATTTGAAATTTTTTGTTTGTTCACATTATACATATTGTTGTTGTTTGCATATTAATAAATAAATAATTATAATGAATATTTTATAGGATGGGCCTAATATTGGGCTGGTTGCCAAACGATTATTATATGCGTGATATTTGTATTATCGCTTTTATATCAGCTCTAGTGGCCACACTTTTAAGTTTACGTTTTTATTTACGTATTACTGCGGGTAGATGTTTTACGGAGGTAAATTTTCTTAATTTTATTAACAAATACCCCCCAAAAAAAACCTGGCTACTCCCGCTTTATAACTTTTTTTCATCTTGTTTAAATATGTTTAAAGGAAAAGAAATTCCCTGATTTGTAAAAATTATAATTTGTATATAATTATATTTTTTTATAATTAAAATGTTATTATTTTTATTTACTTCTACTACAATATACTTTTCTAGGTTGTTTATAATTTTTTGTTGGATTTTTAAGTTAATTAATTGTTTAATGTTAACTCAGTAGTTTGTTTTTTTTTAGTTTTTTTTCTTTTTTGTAGTTTTGAAGTGTGTCTAAAGCAATTTAAGTTTAGTTTTAATTATTTTTTTTTTCAAGTGGAGGTCAGTGTCGTCTACTATTTTAGGTTAAAGAGTTCAAGACTTTTGGACACATTTTTAAACCTTTCCTTTTTGTGTTATTAGTTTTAAAATACTTTACCACAGTATATTTTAATAAAACTATGTAGTTTTGTTTTTAATTACGAATTATCTTCTTAATTTTTTTTCTAAATTATTAAAAAAAAAATCCAATTTTCCTAAAATTTCAGATAAATTTAAAGATTTTGGGATTAAGTTTGATTTTGTAGATAACTAGCTATACCCACCCAGTGTACTTCACTACCCTAAAAACAATAGTCTAATAGTTTCCCAGATATGCGACTTTCTGTTTTTAATTCATATAAGAGGTGCAACTCCGTCCACTTCTTCCCTAAATGTTCACATGGATATCAAAGTTGTTCGTATAAAATTTTAAGCTTCTAGTTCTGAAAGTTTCTCAGATATACGAATTTTTGTATATGATTCATATAGAAGGTGCCACGCCTTCTATTGATGATTCGCCCATTTTTTGTATTAAATACTCATTTGATACTAAAGTGGTATCAAAAAAAATTTTGAGGACTCCAGGTGTTATATTTTCTCAGATATGCTAATTTTCTTTAGATAGGACATGCCACGCCCACTTTACCTAGGCCGCCTATTTTAACCACAAGTGTTTATATGGACATTAAAGTTGTCCATACAAACTGGAAGACTGTAGGTGCATTTTCTGAGAAATGTGGCTTTTAAAATTTATTTTGTATGTGGGCAAAATGCCACGCCTTCTTTAAATTTCGAAATAAAAAGTAGCCTATAGTTCCTTTCAGGCAAACAGGAAGACGCTGTTCATATACATATATAGATTTTGTATTAATTATTTGTTTAATTTTGCAATTGTTTACTTAAGAAATAACTGCATAATTTACTACTTTTTTAAATATTCAATATTTTTGAATAATTAAATTTTTTCATAAATTTATTAGTTCACAATATTATTGTCTAGTTTTAATAAATAATGAGTTTCTTTTGTTGACCAAAATCCAAAAATATTAGTACATAGAAGTTAAAATATACTGAAATTATTTCTAGCTTAAAAATTTTGTTCATTATTTGCCAATTTTATTAATTTGGTTATAAAAATAGCTTTTAGCAAAATTAGGTAATTAAAGTACTTAAATATCAAAGTTCAATAAGACTTAAGAATAATTAATTAATATTTAATAATTTTTCTATGAGAAGTGCGTTGTTAAATAGATTAATACGTAAAAAGTTTAATAAAAGAGAAAAGTTAAAAGTGAGAATCTAATGTTAAATAATTTACAAATTACATTTCATTAGTAGTAGTTGTAATTGAAGTTTATCTAATTCATATTAATTTTAAATGTATAATTTTTCAGTTAAAATTTGTTTAATTGGAAAAAAAGTATTTCGATTATAAAAGTTCCAAATATTCAATAAAAATTGCAATTACATTACTTTAAAAGCAGGCTTGGGGGTATTTATAAACTTTTCAATTACAATTACAGTTGAAGTAAATGTAATTGAAGTTTTACCAATTACATTTACTTGTAATTGCAATTCAAGTTATGCCAATTACATTTTTTTTGCATTTTACAATGATTTGTAATTGTAATTAAAGAATTTCTAAATTGAAGAAATTCCAAATACAATTACTTGTAATTGTGAATTTTGCCCACATGTAACTTGTTATTTATTAATGCCTAAATTACAATTAAATGTAATTGGTAAACTTCAACTACAATGACAATTAGCTGTAATTGGCAAAACTTCAATTACAATTCTAAACAATTGTAATTGGTTACTACCCAATTACACATTACAAGTAATTATAATTTAGCATGTTATGAACTACTTTGTGTAATCACAACCCTTCAAGCCTGATTAAAAATAATGGTAATTGAAATATTACTAATTACAATATTTCAAATTACAATAACTTTAATTATAATAGTTATAAAGTTCACTGCATTTTTGTATTCATTACTATTCTTTTTTTGGATTATTTAATTGTAATGCAGCTATTTTCCATTACTATTATTCAGAAAAGTAATCATTATAACATTTTAATTCATTACTATTACTTGCTCAGAAATTTAATAATTGAAATTACTTGTAATTACAAATTAATAAATTTAAACTGCAAGTAATTGAAATAGATTTTTTGTTCAATTACATATAACAAGTAAGTTTAAGTTTTAAAAAAATTTTTTACAATTACATTAGTAATTGGCTAAATAATGAATTACTTAATGCAATTCATTACCCCTTAAGCCTGCTGAACTTTGATCTTTTTTTAAAAAGAGCTATAAATATTAATTAAGAACTATTAATATTATTTTTAATTGCTTATCTTTAAAAATGTAATGCCTTTTGATTTTGTAATTAATCAATTCTATTAAATCTATAAATCAAATATAATTATATATGGTCTGACCCCTTTTATAATTTTAAAGTACGTCTATGGTTTAACTGTTTTTTTAAACGACCTACTAACAAATTCATATAAAAAAAATGAGTTATTTAAAAAACAATTTTTTGTTTTTCAATTGTTTTGTTATTATTATTGTTTTAACTGGTATTTAAATATACATTTTTAAATAGTCATGATTGCTTTTTATACGTTTTGGCTTAACTGGTACTAAATTAAGTAAAATGTACTTTATACGGTCTTACAATGACGTACTGTTTATCATATTTCTCATACGTTTTGTTTCTTTTTATTAGAAAATAACTATTATAAAGGTACTTTAATTTAACGATTATATTGTTAAATGTTTAAAATAACAACAATTATATTATGAATTGTATAAAATTATTTATTATTCATAATGGAATTATTAGCGAAATATATTAATTTTGATTAGAAAAAAACTGGTTTAATAGTTCAAAAGAATTTTATGTACAATTTATTAGTGTTTGTTATTAGTTAAATAACTTTAAATGTTTTTGAAATAAAAAAATATCGCTAAGATTCCCCTGAATGGAATGTGCTCTGAGGAAAGAATTTTTTTTAATTATTTTAAGTAATTCATTATAATGGTCAATTACAATTACTTTTATGTAATTGAAGATTTTTCAGTTACAATTACTTGTAATTGTATAGGTAGTGCGGAAAATATTGACAATTACAAGTAATTGTAAATTCTTCAATTAAAATTACAATTAATTGTAATTGGCAGGGATAGTGTTTAATGATTACACAAAGTAATTTATTACATGGTCAATTACAATTAATTTTCCAATTACAATTACTTGTAATGTGTAACCGCCAATAACCAATTACAATTACATGTAATTGTAATTCAATTATTGCCAATTACAATTATTTGTAATTGTTGTTGAAGTTTCCAATTAAAATTACTTGTAATTGTAATTTAAGTATAACTAATTACAAATTAAATGTAATTATAAGGAACAAAATTCACAATTACAATTAATTGTAATTGGCAAAACTTCAATTACAATTACAAGTAATTGTAATTGGTAAAGCCTCAATTACGATAACTTTAAATGTAATTGTATTTGAAAATTACCCTTCAAACCTGGTAATTGATTATTGCTCAATTACACATTACAAATAATTGTAATTTGGAAAATTTAAATTTCAATTACAATTACTTCAAATAAAATTGTAAAACATTGAAAAAAGTATCTAGAAATTCTATCTTTGTTGTCGTTCCCCGGCTTTGGTTCTGCTTTACAAACTCCCTCAAATAAATCCCCTTTAAACCACAATAAACTAATAATTTTCTCAACTATTTCTCTAATTATTACAGACAATAATGGAAGGAAAAACTGTAATCATTACTGGTGCCAACAGTGGTATTGGCAAGGAAACTGCCCGTGATTTGGCCAAACGTGGTGCTCGTATTATTATGGCTTGCCGTAATTTGGAAACTGCCAATGCTGTTAAAGGTATAAAACTCTTTAAAACTTCTACTATAATATACAAAGTTATTAATTTTTAAATTACTTTCCTGCCAACAGAGGAAATTGTCAAGGAAACCGGCAACAATAAATTGATTGTCAAGAAATTGGATTTGGGCAGTTTCAAGTCGGTACGTGAATTTGCCACTGATATTGTAAAGAATGAAAAGAAAATCGATGTTCTGATACACAATGCCGGTATGGCTTTGGCCTTCCGTGGTCAAACCAGTGAGGATGGCATTGAATTGACCATGGCTACCAATCACTATGGTCCATTTTTGTTGACTCATTTGTTAATCGATGTTTTAAAGAAGAGTGCCCCTGCACGTATTGTTATTGTAGCCTCTGAACTGTATCGCTTGGCTTCAGTGAATGTTAACAAATTGAATCCTATTGGCACATTCCCCGCTGCTTACTTGTACTATGTCTCCAAGTTTGCCAACATTTACTTTGCCCGTGAATTGGCTAAACGTTTGGAGGGATCTGGTGTCACCGTTAACTTCTTGCATCCCGGTATGATTGATTCTGGCATTTGGCGTAATGTACCCTTCCCCTTGAACTTGCCTATGATGGCTATTACTAAGGGTTTCTTTAAGACTACTAAGGCTGGTGCTCAAACTACCATCTATTTGGCTACTTCCGATGAAGTGGCCAATGTTCATGGTAAATATTTTATGGATTGTAAGGAGGCCACTTTAAATGCTGCCGCTATGGATGAAGAGAAGGGCTTGAAGATTTGGGAAGAATCTGTGAAAATGGTCAAATTGACTCCTCAGGATCCAAAGATCTAAGTTTATATTGTCTAGAGACTGAGTGTAATTTTTTTCTATAAGTAGGTTTGTTTTATTTTAATTTGTAATTTGTGGTATCTGCTGCAGTCTTTTAAAAAAAAAAATATTTACTTTAAGTTTTACTTTTTAATGACTTTTTTTAAATAAAAAAAATAAAAAAACAAAAAGGTTGAATTTCGATTTCTATCAATGTGATTTTTTCAAAAATTCTTAATGAATCCGTACTTGAATCAAGAACATATTTTTTACTTGCTTTCAGAAAATCCGTACTTATTGTATAGACACCCGGTATTAATCGGTAAACAGATCTTAAACCAATATGCCCCAATCTGATATTGTCAGACAATTTAAGTGGGACACCACAATACCAAATTTCTTAGCACCACCTTCCAATGGATCCATCCGTCATTTTAGTCAATCAGTTACAACTAGGGGGGATGTTATTCAAAATCAATTCCAGATCGGGAATTTGATTTCTAGAGTTGTATGAGAGAACCTACTTTAAACAATTGCATAATTGAAGTGATTCGATGTTGCTTATCATTATAGAATCCTTTCTTAAACTAATATATGGCAATTAAACCAGGAAAACATTTTTATTAATTAAAACACTGTAACAATCACAAATTTTTAATTTTCTGAGAACCATACAAATAAACAATTCACAAACGTTTTAAAAGAAATTCGATATTTTCAATCAAAAATCAAGTACATTTTACAAGCAACAAAAATAACAACTACATGAAATACAAAGTAAAATTACATACAAAAATTTTAAGAAAAAAAAATCAAACAAACTGGTTTAAAGCAGAACACAAAATTAACTCATAAAGGATATTAATGAATAATATATCCTTCAATGAACACATATACAAAGATACACAAAATACTCTACCATATATAGATTATCAAAAGGGAATAAAAGTTCCCACACTCTCGAACAAGTCATAAACGCAAAAGTTCAATCACTAACTAACACTCATACACACGAAAGCAGTGACATTTATACTCTCACAAACAGTGCCTCTTACAATTACCTGTTGTTGGTGCTGCTGCCGTTTGCAAACATTGCAACCGCAACCATATCAAAAGTAGATCTGCCAACAAAATGTACAAAACGTCTGGAGACTAAATTCCCAAAGGACAACAGGATACCGAAAAAAGAAGAAAATTAAATGCTGAGAGAAGATTAACAGATAATGAAATTGGCCACAATAATCAAAATCATGAGGATGATGAGTAGCACACACACACTTATACACACACCCCTTTTCAACACTTCTTGTAATTCAATGTGTTGAGCACATAATTATAGAGAGCCAGAGATATGTAGGTGATGGCAATAACTTATTAGTGTTGGTTTAGATATTAAAGGAATGAGAATGGTACACACGAAAAGAAATTGTACAAATACTTTTTATCAATCAGAAAATATTAGATTTCGAATTTTGTTTTTTGGTTTATGAATATAAAGAATGTGAAATGGTTTATCAGCAGGCCGGTTATCGTAATAAAAATTTCAGAACATAAGGGTTTTCAGATAAGTGTTAGCAGTCCATGTGACCCAAATAACCTCAATCTTACCATTAACGGAAACCCTCAATATTTCGATCAATGTCTCCCTGCAGATTTTCTTAAATGGCGGATCAAAGATCTGTCAAGGCTGTCAAACCTTTACTTTATTATTCACTTGAAGAAACTCCAGATGATCGGATTCTTAAGTTACTAGAAAAATCAGAATATGAAAAGGATGTTGATTGGACAAGAATATCGGTGATGTTCACAAAATTTTATATGAGAACACAAGGTATTCAATTCTTTTGAACGTGCACTAAATCTAGCCTATTCTATAAAAACATTTAAAGATCAGATATCGGACAACACCAGAATATGAAAAGAACGCCAGAGCGGAAACCAAAGATTTTTGATTTCTCACCGAACCTTTAACATATGGTGAACAAAACTTGAAACCAAAAAGGGGTAGAAAACTATGGAAACGGCCAGAACAGGAGAAGAAGGGTAGACCAAAGGAGCCAGGCCAAAAGGGGACGGGGAGGCCAGGGGACAAGGGAACCCCAGGGGGAGGAAAAGGGAGCGGGGGAAAACGCGGAAGGGGAAGGGGCACCAAGAGGGGACAAGAGAGCGCCACGGAGCGAGAAGAAGCGAGCGAGCGAGCGAGCAGCGAGCGAGCGAGCGAGCGCGCGAGCGAGCGAGCGAGCGAGCGAGCGAGCGAGCGAGCGAGCGAGCGAGCGAGCGAGCGAGCGAGCGAGCGAGGAGCGAGCGAGCGAGCGAGCGAGCGAGCGAGCGAGAGAAGAGCGAGCGAGCGAGCGAGCGAGCGAGCGAGAGCGAGCGAGCGAGCGAGCGAGCGAGCGAGCGAGCGAGCGAGCGAGCGAGCGAGCGAGCGAGCGAGCGAGCGAGCGAGCGAGGAGCGAGCGAGCGAGCGAGCGAGCGAGCGATCGTATCTAGCGAGCGATCTAGCTATCTACACTATCTATCTATCTACTAGCTAGCTAGCGATCTATCGAGCAGCAGCATCTAGCTATCTAGCTACGAGCTACGAGCGAGATCGATCTAGCGAGCGATCGATCTGGCACTAGCATCGAGCGAGCTATCGATCTATCTATCGAGCTATCATCATCAGCATCTATCTATCAGCTATCTAGCGATCTATCTATCTAGCTAGCATATCTATCTATCTCATCTATCTATCTATCTATCTATCTATCATCTATTATCTATCTATCTATCTTCTATCTATCTATCTATCTATAATCTATCTATCTATCATCATCTATTATTATCTATCTATCTTTTCTTCCTAACTATACCTACATTAAGTACCACTGGTACAAAAGTACCCCTTATTATTCATAAGCATCCCGCTTCAAACTCATCACAATGTGGCAGATTAAAAAAAAACTGATGATAACAGTTAAATTTGTCAGCAAAGAGGCAAGAGAGAGAAACACGCTTCCACATTAACAAAGAGACCAGTGATAATACTAGTGTATGACACGTGTCATAAGCTTTTTCTTTTGAGCATCCGATAATGATCATCAAATAATGGTAATTTTGTTACAACAACTTACATATGTATAATTAATTTATTTAATGACCATAATTGAAATTCAATATTTTTCTAAAAGATTAACAAAAAAATTACTTACTATCTATTATATGGCGAAAAAAAGCAACGAAGTTGCAATAAGATTAAAAGATAAATGCTAGTAAGAGTAAGGATATTTTGATTTTGAGAATTTTAAAAGTAAAATGATTGTTAGTAGCGGAATAATTATAGTGTTTATTTTATATTTAACTAACAGTTATATGTTTTTAAGAGTTTAAGCAAATAATTGTAGATTGTATATGTTTAAAATGGTACTTAATGTGAGAAAAATTAGTTATAACGGTGGGAACTTTTATTTGAAATTTGTGAAATTGTGGGAATAAAATTGTAAGAGCAATGTTGCGTTGAAAAAATTTTATAATATTTTAAAAGAAATACATCAACAAACTTTAAATTAATTAAAAACTGTCTTCTTTGTCACACTGTGACAGTTTATTTCTTGAGGAATATTTCTTTATTTTGTCCTGATAATTGTAAAATTGTAAAAACAAACACATATAGTTGTTTCATAAAATATAATTAAAAATTGTGTGTTTTTATAGTTTTCGCTTACTAACCCCATCCAGCTTACTACTTGTATCTGTCCTGGGATATCACATTTCTAAAAACAACAAAAAAATATTACAATATTTGGCGCGCTTCATTCAAGTGTACTTGAATTGGTTGCTTAAAGAAAATACTACAATCAATTTTCAATATTTGAAAAAAATGTGTCACATTTATGAAGTCTCTATAAAGTAATTTAATACTTTTTAATAAACACAATGATCCCATGTATTTTTTTGTAGTGTGTTTTTTTATTAGCCACTGTATTTAATATTTTCTTTCTTCGACACACACAATCACTCAGTTAAGTTAACGAGGCCACAATTCTGAAACAGTTAATTTTTTATTAAAAAATTTCAAAATTTCTTAGTTTATATCCTTATAATTGTAGTTGTAGGAAAGCAAAAAGGGGAAATATATTTAAACCATCGTAGACCAGCTGTCACCTCTGGATTTTAGCAGTTTCAATGTTAGAGGAACTAGCTCGTACCATGACATATTGCTTTGTGTTGACAGTTGGAATGGTGAGATATCGATACTTTTGTTCGTCTTATTTTTTTTCTGAGTACAAATATAACATGTCTCGGAAATGTCATAAGGTCCTTAAGGAAACATTAAGTAGGAGTAGTTTAGTTGGACAGTTGTTTAAATTTGGAAATTTATTAAGAAAAACAATGTGAAAAGTATATTTTTTAATTACTAGTAAAAATGGTAAACAAAACTGGTTAAAGTAGATAGAAATTAATACGTCTTAAATAAAGCCAACTATAAACTAATGTGTCCTGGATGCTACAACTTTTATTCCAAACCTAATTAAAGTTCACCTTGTACAACTTGTGGACCAACTTGCCAATAAATATTTGTCATTAATGCTCAATAATTACCTAGCAAAAACTTGGTAATGACTTCCAATTGTAACCACTTACTTTTTAATGACTACTATATATCGTCCTGATTACAAAGAAGTAGATGCTTTCAGTTGGAAGCTTAAGAGTGTGGACTCGGAAAGATTGTATTGCACTTTCTCCTAAGCTATCCAATAAATGTTTGACAAGGATGGAAATGAATTGACCGATCCTGACCCAGAATATCAAATTTAGATGGATGCGTTTTCTTTTGATAACAAATATATCGGATCGGAAGAAGGACAACTCTTCACCTTCTTAATCTAGGCAATTAGCCAATATTCCCCAAAACATTTAAACTCCAAAACTTTGATTATCAATATTAACCTGTTGCAAAAAAATAAAACAATAATTATCAAAATACACAAATAAAAATTGAACTCTCTTTGACACTGATTTCAATAATTCCCACACTGTCTTCTCAGAAGAAAAAAAAAAAAAACAAAATAAAGAATATACAAAAATAAGCGAAGAAAAAACACCGTTTTCAAATTGCTGATACATATATTTCACTAAAAATGTAGTCAAGTGTAAAGGCATTCGATGATGAAGATCACACTCGACCAATATCACATTACATGGTGGGAATTCTTTACACTGTCTCATGACTCTCTACTATACTTATGATCGTACAATGCACAACAACATATACTATCACTCTCAAAGCGGTAAGAAAGTCAACTCTACAACCACTATCAAACAAATCAACGACGTGTGTGACAAACAACTGAGATTTAAACGTAGTTTCAACCGGTTTCAATTAAACTCCAGTCTATTAAACAATCTGGGTATAAATTACACAGTGTTGACAAAGTTAAGAACGAAAAAAAAATTATAATAATTCGATCAAGAAGCAAGAACAGCAAAGCATACTTTGTCGCAAAACAAAAAAATGTTGCTTCTGATTGTCAAATTGAATTAAAAATGAAATATGAATGAGAAAGTCTACCAGTCTTCGTTAAAGTTGGAATATGAAATATGTATATATAGAAATTTTAAGTTCTCAAGAAAAATTGTAATAATGCTTCATCATTTCCAGTAGTGATATCAGTAAATGTAAAGTAGTTATTAAGAAGAGGGTGGAAAGATAGCGTTTCGACAGGGTGCAACAATTGGCAACACCACAACGGCTAACCCTACAAGGCCTTGATTACGGGTAAAATGAATTAAAGACATACCTGTTGGAACTAATCCCTTCTATTACCGTTATGTTCGCGAAAAAGATCGAATTAAAGACCGGCATAATTTGAAGATCAGGGGGATTATTCTATAACATCATACAATACTCGATCAATGTCGGTGTTGCGGAGATGACAATCCTTGGTCGTTGTTCGTTCAATTCCGAGTCGTTTCAGTGCGAAGTACCGATTGTCGTGGGAACGATGAAATGATAAAAGCTTATGCAAGACAGCTATCAATACTGTGCAACAAACAGATATCAATTTCCACCGCGATAGTACGCACTAGAGTGCTATTGGCGCAACTAAAATCGGGATGTTATTACACGTTAAAACTAGTATTGGTAGAGAATAAACGACATCATTCAAGATCTCTATTCTACTTATGACATAGGCCCATACAATGTTCAACAGCCTTTCAACTTCAAACTGAGTTAGAATCTGAATCACTTTCAACCGATCCGACAGTCTATTGGGTATAGATCTAGCTGATTTGGATAACTAGAGCGAAGAAGATGAAGATTAGGAAATAATATAACTTTGATGAATCGTTACCAAGGCTCCGTCGAAGGCAAGGTCTCCAGTCTTCAGGAAATTGCTATTTTATTATTTTATTTAACTTTCTAAAGCGTAGAACAAATTGCAATTGGGCGGTACTTATATTGGATAAAGTAGTCCCCTCGCTAACCACTTTCCAACAATTAGTAAATATATCAACTCGATAAGAAAGATGAATAGTTTTCTAATTGAATGGGCCAGTATATAAGAACAAGACCGGGATTGCGAAATGAAATATGTAAAACCTTTGGCAGAATGGTCAGGCTGATATAAACGAGATTCACCAGGTCCAATGCACTTACAATAAGTTGCATCGTACCGCAGAGACATGAATCTGATTATTGACTTGCAAAATATGCCTTTTCTGCATGAACAATTTGTGGATATTGGGACAATCGATATCGATCGAAACTTTTATTGAAATCCTATTGAGATATCGATCGATGCAATAAAAAAGAAGGTATTCGATAAATACGAAATCTAAAGTATTAGGTGAAACAAGCCAGAATTTTGTATTCTGGTAGAATAATCTAACTGATAGCATTACAAGGAATGAACATTCATCTTGGTTTTCGTTTGTTAAAAACAAATTATCCCACCAAAATAATGTGGCACTGAATACAAAGCCAGATATAAACTTTCCACTGCAGCCATTACAAATGGCCGCAAATATTGTATTGGAAATATTAACATTCTCTTGTACTTGTCTAACCATCTAACAGGCATTTAATAAAACTGGCCTTTTCCAACACATTAAAAAAAATAGAAATGGATTTGGTTTTCTTTTCTGTTTCGTATGTGTATATATTTTTTTCTAATAAACAGACGCCAATATTTTTAACATAAAAGCAAACGATGAAGCCCCAAGAATGCGCGCTAACGCCAAGAAAAAGTATTTCATTGATTTTTGAAACCAAAGAAATATTTTTATTTTGGAAAATGTTTTCTTTTTTTTGTTTTGTACGTCGTATTAAGTTGTAAACATGAAGAAAAAGGCGTAAAATTGAAAAAAAAGCAAATGGAAATGCCAAACAATCTAACGTCTAGAGTATACATAGTAGTGAAAAGAAGATTTATGTAGAGAGCGATCATGTGAATGTTAATTGTTGTTAAAAGGACTAATCTTAAAAATGTAGAATTTTAATATGTTACTAAATTATTGTTTATTTTAGAAAATAAATTAAGCTTATTTCAGAAAGAATATAAATTCGAATATTACTAGTTAATTAATGTAATTTTAGGTTCGGTTTTATCTATCTATCTATCTATCTATCTATCTATCTATCTATCTATCTATCTATCTATCTATCTATCTATCTATCTATCTATCTATCTATCTATCTATCTATCTATCTATCTATCTATCTATCTATCTATCTATCTATCTATCTATCTATCTATCTATCTATCTATCTATCTATCTATCTATCTATCTATCTATCTATCTATCTATCTATCTATCTATCTATCTATCTATCTATCTATCTATCTATCTATCTATCTATCTATCTATCTATCTATCTAGCTATCTATCTATCTATCTATCTATCTATCTATCTATCTATCTATCTACTATCTATCTATCTATCTATCTACTATCTATCTATCTATCTATCTATCTATCTATCTATCTATCTATCTATCTATCTATCTATCTATCTATCTATCTACTATCTATCTATCTATCTATCTATCTATCTATCTATCTATCTATCTATCTATCTATCTATCTATCTATCTATCTATCTATCTTATCTATCTATCTATCTATCTATCTATCTATCTATCTATCTATCTATCTATCTATCTATCTATCGATCTATCTATCTATCTATCTATCTATCTATCTATCTATCTATCTATCTATCTATCTATCTATCTATCTATCTATCTATCTATCTATCTATCTATCTATCTATCTAACTATCTATCTAACTAACTATTTATCTATCTATCTATCTATACATACGTGTATTACTCAAAAACTACGACCTGTAGTTTGGTTACAAGATTTACAGGACGGACTGCTTAGCGGACCAAAAAAGTAATTCTGATTGAACAAACATCTAATAGAGAATCCTTAAAAACACTAGATCTTAATCAATTAACGCTACAACATGTGTGTTTAAATAAACATGATTTGTGTAACAATTGTTAAATTATTTCTAACACAAGAAACAATTTCATTCCACTAGTAATGTATTTACTTTGAACATATCAAAAGAAGGATTTTCTGGTTGATGATTTTAACAAATCAAGTCAATAAAAAAGTCAAAAATTTTATTTAAAGCCACCCTGGCAATGAGCCCTCAAGTAACATTGATACACAAACCTACAACAAGATATTAATGACGATAATTGAGAGAACTATTAATTAAGTACCGGATAATATGAAATTCTCCCTTTATTATCAAAGAAAGTACCAAAAATGTTGGTCTGCCCATTTGTGTTTGTTTAAATTCTTAAGTGTAAAAATTATAAGGGAAGTTCGTTGTTAAGTTAATAATGGGTGAATGCGAGCAGACCCATGAGGTGGATGTGGTAAAGGAATTATTATTAGGGTTGTTTATTTGAATGCGGTTTATTTTGTAACCAAATTTGAAGAAAAAGTTATTGTAATTAATTTGTAACCATAGTGTTGTGATTGATTTGAAAGTCTACTTTTTTCCAAATACACAATATTTGCACAGGTGAATGTATCAAAACTTAACTCACACCTGTATTTGCAAAACAATTTTATTATGCTTATACGAATGTGCAATTAAAGGATCTTCTTTAGACAAAACTTTTTCGAAGCAGGACATTCATATTCCATAGCTGAGGTATTGACAAATGGACGACAGAAAACTCGGAGCTCTTGAAAGAGGAAACAAAAATCTTTAAACATTTCAAATTTAATTAAACAGAAACCTTTGAACTTTTAAAAAAGATAGATAGAAAATATTTTATTATTTTGTGACAATTTCTTATCTCAAAATAATTATTCAAAATTTATTTAGAAATAATAAACAAGCTATGCTGATTTAAAGACAAAGTAATTAGTTGAGTTCTAGCATTACTCTTAGAAAGAATAATGAAACTCTTCTTAATAATAGGTTTAATTTGTGGCCTTATTATCGCTAATAAAGCGGCGGTAATGAGAGGAAATTATGCAGATCCAAGTAAAATTTTATTAGATTAAAACTATAAATTCTAAATAATATTATTATGTTTTTTTTTATATAAAAAGGACACCCAGGTAAATGTGTATATCGTGATATGATATTGTCGCCTGGAGAACATCCCTATTCAAAGTGTGGGCGCATGTTGTGCGGTGAAACTGGATGGATAGCTTTTCATACGTAAGTTTAAATTTTTTATTTACTTTATACATTATAAACATGTCTTTTGTCTATTCAGCTGTGGTGCCATACTACCACCAGAAGGTCATAAGCTGGGAGAATCCGTTTATCCAGATTCACCATATCCGAAATGTTGTGAAAGGCATTATATTCCAATTGAAAAGGAAAATGAGTAAAATATAAAGAAAATCCAAAAACTCGCAAAATTTAATAAAAATAAAAAACTCAACTTTGTTTATACAAAATCAATTAAAAAACTTAAAATTGGCCATAGTTCCTTAAAAAACGCACCAATGGAGAAAATATTGAAAATTTGTGATCACTCATATTTCTTACCAAAAATCGATTTTTATACCAAAAACTTAAATCGGCTGTAGTTCCTTAAATAACGCTCCAATTGAGAAAATATTGAAAATCACTCATATATTTTTATATGAAAAATCGATTTTTATATGATTAATTTAAAATCGGCTGTAGTTTCTTAAATAACGCTCCAATTGAGAAAATAGTGAAAATCCGTGATCACTCATATTTCTCACCAAAAATCGATTTTAATATGAAAAACATAAAATCGGCTGTAGTTTCCTAAATAACGCTCCAATTGAGAAAATAGTGAAAATCTGTGATCCCTCATATTTCCCACCAAAAACCGATTTTTATATCAAAAACTTAAAATCGGCTGTAGTTTCTTAAATAACGCTCCAATTGAGAAAATAGTGAAAATCTGTGATCACTCATATTTCTCACGAAAAATCGATTTTTATATGAAAAACTTAAAATCGGCTGTAGTTTCTTAAATAACGCTCCAATTGAGAAAATAGTTAAAATCTGTGATCACTCATATTTCTCACCAAAAATCGATTTTTATATGAAAAACCTTAAATCGGCTGTAGTTTCTTAAATAACGCTACAATTGAGAAATAGTTAAAATCTGTGATCACTCATATTTCTCACCAAATATCGATGTCTATATGGAAAACTTAAAATCGGCTGTAGTTTCTTAAATAACGCTCCAATTGAGAAAATAGTGAAAATCTGTGGTCACTCATATTTCTCACCAAATATCGATTTTTATATGAAAAACTTAAATCGGCTGTAGTTTCTTAAATAACGCTCCAATTGAGAAAATATTGAAAATCTGCGATCACTCATATTTCTCACCAAAAATCGATTTTTATATGAAAAACCTAAAATCGGCTGTAGTTTCTTAAATAACGCTCCAATTGAGAAAACAGTGAAAATCTGCGATCACTCATATTTCTCACCTAAAATCGATTTTTATATAAAAAGTTAAAATGTGCTGTAGTTTCTTAAATAACGCTCCAATTGAGAAAATAGTGAAAATCTGTGATCACTCATATTTCTCACCCAAAATCGATATTTATATGAAAAACTTAAATCGGCTGTAGTTTCTTAAATAACGCTCCAATTGAGAAAATAGCGAAAATGCGTGATCACTCATATTTCTCACCAAAAATCGATTTTAATATGAAAAACATAAAATCGGCTGTAGTTTCCTAAATAACGCTCCAGTTGAGAAAATAGTGAAAATCTGTGATCCCTCATATTTCCCACCAAAAACCGATTTTTATATCAAAAACTTAAAATCGGCTGTAGTTTCTTAAATAACGCTCCAATTGAGAAAATAGTTAAAATCTGTGATCACTCATATTTCTCACCAAAAATCGATTTTTATATGAAAAACTTTAAATCGGCTGTAGTTTCTTAAATAACGATCCAATTGAGAAATAGTTAAAATCTGTGATCAATCACCAAAAATCGATTTTTATATAAAAAACTTAAATCGGCTGTAGTTTCTTAAATAACGCTCCAATTGAGAAAATAGTGAAAATCTGTGATCACTCATATTTTCCAGGAAAAATCAATTTTTATATGAAAAACTTAAAACGGCTCTAGTTTCTTAAATAACGCTGCAATTGAGAAAATAGTGAAAATCTGTGATCACTCATATTTCCCAGGAAAAATCGATTTTTATATCAAAAACTTAAAACGGCTGTAGCTCCTTAAATAATGCTCCAATTGAGAAAATAGTGAAAAACTGTGATCAATCATTTTTCCCAAGAAAAATCGATTTTTATATCAAAAACTTAAATCGGCTGTAGTTTCTTAAATAACGCTCCAATTGAGAAAATATTGAAAATCTGTGCTCACTCATATTTCTCACCAAAAATCGATTTTTATATGAAAAACATAAAATCGGCTGTAGTTTCTTAAATAACGCTTCAATTGAAAAAATATTGAAAATCTGTGATCACTCATATTTCTCACCAAATATCGATGTCTATATGGAAAACTTAAAATCGGCTGTAGTTTCTTAAATAACGCTCCAATTGAGAAAATATTGAAAATCTGCGATCACTCATATTTCTCACCAAAAATCGATTTTTATATGAAAAACCTAAAATCGGCTGTAGTTTCTTAAATAACGCTCCAATTGAGAAAACAGTGAAAATCTGTGATCACTCATATTTCTCACCTAAAATCGATTTTTATATAAAAAGTTCAAATGTGCTGTAGTTTCTTAAATAATGCTCCAATTGAGAAAATAGTGAAAATCTGTGATCACTCATATTTCTCACCCAAAATCGATATTTATATGAAAAACTTAAAACGGCTGTAGTCCCTTAAATAACGCTCCAATTGAGAAAATAGTGAAAAAATCGATTTTTATATCAAAAACTTAAATCGGCTGTAGTTTCTTAAATAACGCTCCAATAGATAAAATAGTGAAAATCTGTGATCACACATATTTCCCACCAAAAATCGATTTTTATATGAAAAACTTAAAATCGGCTGTAGTTTCTTAAATAACGCTCCAATTGAGAAAATAGGGAAAATCTGTGATCACTCATATTTCTCACCAAAAATTGATTTTTATATGAAAAACTTAAAATCGGCTGTAGTTTCTTAAATAACGCTCCAATTGAGAAAATAGTGAAAATCTGTGATCACTCATATTTCTCACCAAAAATCGATTTTTATATGAAATACTTAAAATCGAAAATAGTGAAAATATGTGATCACTCATGTTTCCCAAGAAAAATCGATTTTTATAAGAAAAATTAAAATCGTCTGTAGTTTCTTAAATAACGCTCCAATTGAGAAAATAGTGAAAATCTGTGATCACTCATATTTCTCAACAAAAATTGATTTTTATATGAAAAACTTAAAATCGGCTGTAGTTTCTTAAATAACGCTCCAATTGAGAAAATAGTGAAAATCTGTGATCACTCATTTATCCCAAGGAAAATCGATTTTTATATGAAAAACTTAAAATCGGCTGCAGTTTCTTAAATAACGCTCCAATTGAGAAAATAGTGAAAATCTGTGATCACTCATATTTCTCACCAAAAATCGATTTTTATATGAAAAACTTAAAATCGGCTGTAGTTTCTTAAATAACGCTCCAATTGAGAAAATAGTTAAAATCTGTGATCACTCATATTTTCCAAGAAAAATCGATTTTTATATGAAAAACATAAAATCGACTGTAGTTTCTTAAATAACGCTCCAATTGAGAAAATAGTGAAAATCTGTGATCACTCATATATCCCAGGAAAAATCGATTTTTATATGAAAAACTTAAAATCGGCTGTAGTTTCTTAAATAACGCTCCAATTGAGAAAATAGTGAAAATCTGTGATCACTCATATTTTTATATGAAAAATCGATTTTAATATGATAAACTTAAAATCGGCTGCAGTTGGTTAAATAACGCTCCAATTGAGAAATTAGTGAAAATCTGTAATCACTCATATTTCTCACCAAAAATCGATTTTTATATGAAATACTTAAAATCGAAAATAGTGTGAAAATATGTGATCACTCATGTTTCCCAAGAAAAATCGATTTTTATAAGAAAAATTAAAATCGTCTGTAGTTTCTTAAATAACGCTCCAATTGAGAAAATAGTGAAAATCTGTGATCACTCATATTTCCCACCAAAAATCGATTTTTATATGAAAAACTTAAATCGGCTGTAGTTTCTTAAATAACGCTCCAATTGTGAAAATCTGTGATCACTCATATTTTCCACCAAAAATCGATTTTTATATGAAAAACTTAAATCGGCTGTAGTTTCTTAAATAACGCTCCAATTGAGAAAATAGTGAAAATCTGTGATCACTCATGTTTCCCAAGAAAAATCGATTTTTATAAGAAAAACTTAAAATCGGCTGTAGTTTCTTAAATAACGCTCCAATTGAGAAAATAGTGAAAATCTGTGATCACTCATATTTTTATACGAAAAATCGATTTTAATATGATAAACTTAAAATCGGCTGCAGTTTGTTAAATAACGCTCCAATTGAGAATATAGTGAAAATCTGTGATCACTCATATTTCTCACCAAAAATCGATTATAAGAAAAACTTAAAATCGGCTGTAGTTTCTTAAATAACGCTCTAATTGAGGAAATAGTGAAAATCTGTGATCACTCATATTTCCCAAAAAAAATCGATTTTTATATGAAAAACTTAAAATCGGCTGTAGTTTCTTAAATAACGCTCCAATTGAGAAATTAGTGAAAATCTGTGATCACTCATATTTCTCACCAAAAATCGATTTTTATATGAAAAACTTAAAATCGGCTGCAGTTTCTTAAATAACGCTCCAATTGAGAAAATAGTGAAAATCTGTGATCACTCATATTTCTCACCAAAAATCGATTTTTATATGAAAAACTTAAAATCGGCTGTAGTTTCTTAAATAACGCTCCAATTGAGAAAATAGTGAAAATCTGTGATCACTCATATTTCTCACCAAAAATCGATTTTTATATGAAAAACTTAAAATCGGCTGTAGTTTCTTAAATAACGCTCCAATTGAGAAAATAGTGAAAATCTGTGATCACTCATATTTCTCACCAAAAATCGATTTTTATATGAAAAACTTAAAATCGGCTGTAGTTTCTTAAATAACGCTCCAATTGAGAAAATAGTGAAAATCTGTGATCACTCATATTTCTCACCAAAAATCGATTTTAATATGATAAACTTAAAATCGGCTGCAGTTTGTTAAATAACGCTCCAATTGAGAATATAGTGAAAATCTGTGATCACTCATATTTCTCACCAAAAATCGATTATAAGAAAAACTTAAAATCGGCTGTAGTTTCTTAAATAACGCTCTAATTGAGGAAATAGTGAAAATCTGTGATCACTCATATTTCCCAAAAAAAATCGATTTTTATATGAAAAACTTAAAATCGGCTGTAGTTTCTTAAATAACGCTCCAATTGAGAAATTAGTGAAAATCTGTGATCACTCATATTTCTCACCAAAAATCGATTTTTATATGAAAAACTTAAAATCGGCTGTAGTTTCTTAAATAACGCTCCAATTGAGAAAATAGTGAAAATCTGTGATCACTCATATTTCTCACCAAAAATCGATTTTTATATGAAAAACTTAAAATCGGCTGTAGTTTCTTAAATAACGCTCCAATTGAGAAAATAGTGAAAATCTGTGATCACTCATATTTCTCACCAAAAATCGATTTTTATATGAAAAACTTAAAATCGGCTGTAGTTTCTTAAATAACGCTCCAATTGAGAAAATAGTGAAAATCTGTGATCACTCATATTTCTCACCAAAAATCGATTTTTATATGAAAAACTTAAAATCGGCTGTAGTTTCTTAAATAACGCTTCAATTGAGAAAAGTGTGAAAATCTGTGATCACTCATATTTCTCACCAAAAATCAATTTTTATATGAAAAACATAAAATCGGCAGTAGTTCCTTAAATAACGCTCCAATTGAGAAAATAGTGAAAATCTGTGATCACTCATATTTCTCACCAAAAATCGATTTTTATATGAAAAACATAAAATCGGCAGTAGTTCCTTAAATAACGCTCCAATTGAGAAAATAGTGAAAATCTGTGATCACTCATATTTCCCAGGAAAAATCAATTTTTATATGAAAAACTTAAATCGGCTGTAGTTTCTTAAATAACGCTCCAATTGAGAAAAGTGTGAAAATCTGTGATCACTCATATTTCTCACCAAAAATCAATTTTTATATGAAAAACATAAAATCGGCAGTAGTTCCTTAAATAACGCTCCAATTGAGAAAATAGTGAAAATCTGTGATCACTCATATTTCCCAGGAAAAATCAATTTTTATATGAAAAACTTAAATCGGCTGTAGTTTCTTAAATATCGCTCCAATTGAGAAAATAGTGAAAATCTGTGATCACTCATATTTCTCACCAAAAATCGATTTTTATATGAAAAACATAAAATCGGCAGTAGTTCCTTAAATAACGCTCCAATTGAGAAAATAGTGAAAATCTGTGATCACTCATATTTCCCAGGAAAAATCAATTTTTATATGAAAAACATAAAATCGGCTGTAGTTTCTTAAATAACGCTCCAATTGAGAAAATAGTGAAAATCTGTGATCACTCATATTTCTCACCAAAAATCGATTTTTATATGAAAAACATAAAATCGGCTGTAGTTCCTTAAATAACGCTCCAATTGAGAAAATAGTGAAAAACTGTGATCACTCATATATCCCAAGGAAAATCGATTTTTATATGAAAAACTTAAAATCGGCTGTAGTTCCTTAAATAACGCTCCAATTGAGAAAATAGTGAAAATCTGTGATCACTCATATTTCCCAGGAAAAATCAATTTTTATATGAAAAACTTAAATCGGCTGTAGTTTCTTAAATAACGCTCCAATTGAGAAAATAGTGAAAATCTGTGATCACTCATATTTCTCACCAAAAATCGATTTTTATATGAAATACTTAAAATCGAAAATAGTGAAAATATGTGATCACTCATGTTTCCCAAGGAAAAGCGATTTTTATATGAAAAACTTAAAATCGGCTGTAGTTTCTTAAATAACGCTCCAATTGAGAAAATAGTGAAAATCTGTGATCACTAATTTATCCCAAGGAAAATCGATTTTTATATGAAAAACTTAAAATCGGCTGTAGTTTCTTAAATAACGCTCCAATTGAGAAAATAGTGAAAATCTGTGATCACTCATTTATCCCAAGGAAAATCGATTTTTATATGAAAAACTTAAAATCGGCTGCAGTTTCTTAAATAACGCTCCAATTGAGAAAATAGTGAAAATCTGTGATCACTCATATTTCTCGCCAAAAATCGATTTTTATATGAAAAACTTAAAATCGGCTGTAGTTTCTTAAATAACGCTCCAATTGAGAAAATAGTTAAAATCTGTGATCACTCATATTTTCCAAGAAAAATCGATTTTTATATGAAAAACATAAAATCGGCTGTAGTTTCTTAAATAACGCTCCAATTGAGAAAATAGTGAAAATCTGTGATCACTCATATTTTTATATGAAAAATCGATTTTAATATGATAAACTTAAAATCGGCTGCAGTTTGTTAAATAACGCTCCAATTGAGAATATAGTGAAAATCTGTGATCACTCATATTTCTCACCAAAAATAACGCTCTAATTGAGGAAATAGTGAAAATCTGTGATCATTCATATTTCCCCAAAAAAATCGATTTTTATATGAAAAACTTAAAATCGGCTGTAGTTTCTTAAATAACGCTCCAATTGAGAAATTAGTGAAAATCTGTGATCACTCATATTTCTCACCAAAAATCGATTTTTATATGAAAAACTTAAAATCGGCTGTAGTTTCTTAAATAACGTTCCAATTGAGAAAATAGTGAAAATCTGTGATCACTCATATTTCTCACCAAAAATCGATTTTTATATGAAAAACTTAAAATCGGCTGTAGTTTCTTAAATAACGCTTCAATTGAGAAAATAGTGAAAATCTGTGATCACTCATATTTCTCACCAAAAATCAATTTTTATATGAAAAACATAAAATCGGCTGTAGTTCCTTAAATAACGCTCCAATTGAGAAAATAGTAAAAATCTGTGATCACTCATATTTCTCACCAAATATCGATTTTTTTATGAAAAATATAAAATCGGCTGTAGTTTCTTAAATAACGCTCCAATTGAGAAAATAGTGAAAATCTGTGATCACGCATATTTTCCAGGAAAAATCTATTTTTATATCAAAAACTTAAAATGGGCTGTAGTTTCTTAAATAACGCTCCAATTGAGAAAACAGTGAAAATCTGTGATTACTCATATTTCCCACCAAATATCGATTTTTATATGAAAAACTTAAATCGGCTGTAGTTTCTTAAATAACGCTCCAATTGAGAAAATACTGAAAATCTGTGATCGCTTATATTTCTCACCAAAAATCGATTTTTATATGAAAAACCTAAAATCGGCTGTAGTTTCTTAGATAACGCTCCAATTGAGAAAATAGTGAAAATCTGTGATCACTCATATTTCCCAGGAAAAATCAATTTTTATATGAAAAACGTAAATCGGCTGTAGTTTCTTAAATAACGCTCCAATTGAGAAAATAGTGAAAATCTGTGATCACTCATATTTCCCACCAAAAATCGAGTTTTATATCAAAAACTTAAAATGGGCTGTAGTTTCTTAAATAACGCTCCAATTGAGAAAATAGTGAAAATCTGTGATCACTCATATTTCCTAGGAAAAACCGATTTTTATATGAAAAACTTAAAACCGGCTGTAGTTTAGATGTATGATGTAAGAGATGTAAGTAAGAGATTAATGTCTGTAGATAGAATATTTCTTTGCCCCACTGTAGTGCAGATAGAACTGCACATAATTATGTTTTTTTTATTATTATTTCTTATCACAATGTTTTTGCATAACACAATACAGACTTTGCTAATCATCCATTAGTTGGCATTTAGCATTTAACTTGAAAGAACAATGAAATTCTGGCTTCTGATAAGTTTAATTAGTGTATGCATTGTCGCAAATAGGGCTGCAGTGGCTAGAGGAACCTATAAAGATCCAAGTAAATAAAACAGTTTTATACATATAATTAATAACAATACGATTTTTCGTTTCATTATTAAAATTTAGGATACCCAGGCAAATGTGTTGTTGGTGATTTAATTGTGTCGCCTGGAGAAGAGGCTACACATCCTTTTTCCCGTTGTGGACGTATGTTGTGCGGTAGTGAAGGTTCTGTTGTTTTTCACACGTAAGTGAAATCTTAGTACTATAGATATTTACACAATTTTTATATCATTTTTATTGTAGATGTGGTGCCATTGGTGCACCATCGGGTTATAAATTGGGTGATCCCATTGAGCCCACAGCACCATATCCAACATGTTGTAAAAGACATTTTATTCCAATTGATAATTAATTTCATTGAAATATGTATGTGAACAGTGTGAGATTTTAAGTTAAAGATTTCCAATAAATAAAGAAATATGTTAAAAATGTATGTCTGACTAGTTGTTTAAATCATGTTTGTAAAATGATCTCTTAACCTTTCGGTAGGTATTGCCAAGAATTTCTATTATAATACTCAAACTAAGTAAGTATGTAGAAGTATACAAACTAAAACCAAACTAAACTAAATACTTAAAATTCTAAACTAACTTACTAACTAATAAAGTACATATGCATGTGTGTAAAGCGAACTACAAGTTTTTTTTATAAATATTTCATAATTTTAACCAATTCCACCACAAATACAATATCGAATGACAAAATACACACACACACAAATGGAGAAAAAATCCAACAGAGATTTACATTTTTTGTGGCTGATTACAATTGAATGAACATTGACTGCTACGAGGAGGAATATTAATATTTTTCGAACGAAACCAACATGACGTTGAAGTGGAACTACAAATGGAAATGGAAGCGAAAACAAAAAACAACAGAAGCAGAAAATAAAAATTCGAAATACAAATAAAGCGACACATTCATCCAACCAATTCATCTATCCATTGCACATACACACAGAAATTCATGGATCAAGCGGACGGAATTGAAATGGTAGACGACATTCATTGGTTAAGAAGTAGAAGTTAATTTTGTACGAGTGTGAGTTTGAGTACGTAGGTAGTCAAGAGATTGTCACCATCTTCAGTTGGCAAATGTGTCTGAGAGGGGGGTTTGTGTATTGGGCATTAAAAAGGAGGAAAAAAATAATAAAAGACAATAAGCTCAGTGTATAATGGAAATACAAATGTACTCTGTTAACCAGCATTGCTAATTTAGCGCTTTTTGGTAACCCAAAAGACTGTGCTAGTCTAGCGCCTTTTTGGTGTAATCTATTTTTAAAAACTCATATCTTTATGGCGAAGAGAAATTGTCTGGAGAAGATCCTCTGGAGGCGTGTTACCTTAATGAAAGACCCTCATCTGGGAGCTATTGCAATCCAGGAGAAAAAAGGTCCTACCAGTCCCTCTTGTCTGCGGAGCCTTAAAACTAGTGACAATCAAGTAGTTTTGGACTTTCTTTTGACCCGGTTATTGGAGAGGTTCCTACGGGGTGCACGTAGTGGCTGTGGTTAAAACCCCGGGAAGAGAATGTCGGTTAAAAGACTGATGCACGGTAAAGTCTATAATTCGGCATAAGTTCGGTGCTGTTGCTGAGATAACAGATACCCCATAGAGGATTGACTGTGGGACTAAGCGTTGAAAATGAGTTGGCGTTAAGTATATATGATACTGGATGAATATAGGGGTATAAGCGTATGTCGCATGAATGAGAAGTGTGCTGGACCGACCGCATCCTAGGATATATCTTCATGGTATGAAGATATACATATGTATGTACATCTAAGCATCCTCTTCTTTAACGTTAACATATTTAAAATATGCTCGAGTTTTTGAGTTCGTTAGCAAATCGATTTTCTTACATTATGTTCCATACTTTTGTTTTTTACTGTACTATTATGTATTTCTTATTTAAACTTAAGCACAGACTAGTGATGAGTGTTTCATTTCGGCCACAGATTCTTTTCTAAAAACACTTACAATTCATTTCGATTCCCGAAATTATGTTGAGATCACCGGATATTCGTATAAATATTGTAAAAAATTATGAAATTGTGTCCTTAATAAATCTTTAGCGCTATATACACTCTAGATTCTAGAGTTTTAGGTAATGCTTCACATCGCATTTCGCTTATAAATAGTTGACATCACTGCTGATAACTGCAATAGTAGAATGGATACAAATGTTTTGAACTATTATTGAGTACAGGGTAGGGATTATTATGTTGCACAAAAGAATAACGAAACAGACAATATGCAATTGGAAAATAATGTATGTATTAATGCTGACTGACCATTGCTGTAGGAAAAAACATTGTAACAACCGCTTCTTAACCCTTTGTATGCGAAAGCGACATATGGGTATAGAGTTAAATGTTATGAGTGTTCAAAAACTATTCCGGGAAGAAAATTCAATGTTGTCTTAGAATACTATGAAGATTCCAATATTTCGATATCAATTGTCTAATTAGCATTTATAGGTTTCTAGTCTATAGTCAAGTCTATAGTCTAGTCTATAGTCTAGTCTATAGTCTAGTCTATAGTCTAGTCTATAGTCTAGTCTATAGTCTAGTCTATAGTCTAGTCTATAGTCTAGTCTATAGTCTAGTCTATAGTCTAGTCTATAGTCTAGTCTATAGTCTAGTCTATAGTCTAGTCTATAGTCTAGTCTATAGTCTAGTCTATAGTCTAGTCTATAGTCTAGTCTATAGTCCTAGTCTATAGTCTAGTTTATAGTCTAGTCTATAGTCCTAGTCTATAGTCTAGTCTATAGTCTAGTCTATAGTCCTAGTCTGTAGTCTAGTCTATAGTCTAGTCTATAGTCTAGTCTATAGTCTAGTCTATAGTCTAGTCTATAGTCTAGTCTATAGTCTAGTCTATAGTCTAGTCTATAGTCTAGTCTATAGTCTAGTCTATAAGTCCTAGTCCTAGCTAGTCTAGTCTATAGTCTAGTCTATAGTCTAGTCTATAGTCTAGTCTATCTAGTCTCTAGTCTGAGTCTAGTCTAGTCTATAGTCCTAGTCTATAGTCTAGTCTATAGTCTAGTCTATAGTCTAGTCTAGTCTATAGTCTAGTCTATAGTCTAGTCTATAGTCTAGTCTATAGTCTAGTCTATAGTCTAGTCTATAGTCTAGTCTAGTAGTCTAGTCTATAGTCCTAGTCTATAGTCCTAGTCTATAGTCTAGTCTATAGTCTAGTCGATAGTCTAGTCTATAGTCTAGTCTTAGTCTAGTCTATAGTCTAGTCTATAGTCTAGTCTATAGTCTAGTCTAGTAGTCTAGTCTATAGTCTAGTCCTATAGCTAGTCTATAGTCTAGTCTATAGTCTAGTCTATAGTCTAGTCTATAGTCTAGTCTATAGTCTAGTCTATAGTCTATCTATAGTCTAGTCTATAGTCTAGTCTATAGTCTAGTCTATAGTCTAGTCTATAGTCCTATGTCTATAGTCTAGTCTATAGTCTAGTCTATAGTCTAGTCTATAGTCTAGTCTATAGTCCTAGTCTATAGTCTAGTCTATAGTCTAGTCTATAGTCTAGTCTATAGTCTAGTCTATAGTCTAGTCTATAGTCTAGTCTATAGTCTAGTCTATAGTCTAGTCCATAGTCTAGTCTATAGTCTAGTCTATAGTCTAGTCCATAGTCTAGTCTATAGTCTAGTCTATAGTCTAGTCTATAGTCTAGTCTATAGTCTAGTCCATAGTCTAGTCTATAGTCTATAGTCTAGTCTATAGTCTAGTCTATAGTCTAGTCTATAGTCTAGTCTATAGTCTAGTCTATAGTCTAGTCTATAGTCTAGTCTATAGTCTAGTCTATAGTCTAGTCTATAGTCTAGTCTATAGTCTAGTCTATAGTCTAGTCTATAGTCTAGTCTATAGTCTAGTCTATAGTCTAGTCTATAGTCTAGTCTATAGTCTAGTCTATAGTCTAGTCTATAGTCTAGTCTATAGTCTAGTCTATAGTCTAGTCTGTAGTCTAGTCTATAGTCTAGTCTATAGTCTAGTCTATAGTCTAGTCTATAGTCTAGTCTATCTAGTCTATAGTCTAGTCTATAGTCTAGTCTATAGTCTAGTCTATAGTCTAGTCTATAGTCTAGTCTATAGTCTAGTCTATTAGTCTAGTCTGTATAGTCTAGTCTATAGTCTAGTCTATAGTCTAGTCTATATCTAGTCTATAGTCTAGTCTATAGTCTAGTCTATAGTCTAGTCTATAGTCTAGTCTATAGTCTAGTCTATAGTCTAGTCTATAGTCTAGTCTATAGTCTAGTCTATAGTCTAGTCTATAGTCTAGTCTATAGTCTAGTCTATAGTCTAGTCTATAGTCTAGTCTATAGTCTAGTCTATAGTCTTAGTCTATAGTCGAGTCTATAGTCTAGGCTATAGTCTAGTCTATAGTCTAGTCTATAGTCTAGTCTATAGTCTAGTCTATAGTCTAGTCTATAGTCTAGTCTATAGTCTAGTCTATAGTCCTAAGTCTATAGTCTAGTCTATAGTCTAGTCTATAGTCTAGTCTATAGTCTAGTCTATAGTCTAGTCTATAGTCTAGTCTATAGTCTAGTCTATAGTCTAGTCTATAGTCTAGTCTATAGTCTAGTCTATAGTCTAGTCTATAGTCTAGTCTATAGTCTAGTCTATAGTCTAATCTATAGTCTAGTCTATAGTCTAGTCTATAGTCTAGTCTATAGTCTAGTCTATAGTCTAGTCTATAGTCTAGTCTATAGTCTAGTCTATAGTCTAGTCTATAGTCAGTCTATAGTCTAGTCTATAGTCTAGTCTATAGTCTAGTCTATAGTCTAGTCTATAGTCTAGTCTATAGTCTAGTCTATAGTCTAGTCTATAGTCTAGTCTATAGTCTAGTCTATAGTCTAGTCTATAGTCTAGTCTATAGTCTAGTCTATAGTCTAGTCTATAGTCTAGTCTATAGTCTAGTCTATAGTCTAGTCTATAGTCTAGTCTATAGTCTAGTCTATAGTCTAGTCTATAGTCTAGTCTATAGTCTAGTCTATAGTCTAGTCTATAGTCTAGTCTAGTCTAGTCTATAGTCTAGTCTATAGTCTAGTCTATAGTCTAGTCTATAGTCTAGTCTAGTCTAGTCTATAGTCTAGTCTATAGTCTAGTCTAGTCTAGTCTAGTCTATAGTCTAGTGTAGTGGAGAGTTGATCGACACTATATGTATATAATTATATAATATATGTATATAGTGTTCTTTTCTTAGTGTCTCTAATCAATAGTTATGGGCCAGAAAGTCACTAAATAACTGACCGTTCCAAACCCCCACTTCTGGGTTTAGGAAAAAAGGAAGCGTGTGCTTGTCAAAAGAAGTTTCAATGTGTGTGGGTTTTATTGGTGTTGCCGGCAAAACAAGACGATCAGTAGTGGTAAGTGAGTGGTTTATTGTTCATGTCACCTATGTTTTGTTAGTGTGCGTGAGTTGTATAAATGTGCTAGTCCGTCTATGTGACAGTCTCGACAAACAGGCCGTTTTAAACTTTTTCATTCATTTTTTTTTTCTTGTTACCACTTTTTTTCATAAACATTCTCTTCATGCTGCCAGTATCTGATGTCGTCCAATAATGTATGATATTGAATGACAAAAAATATTGTAGTTGTTCTTGTTGTTGTCGAGCATGTTAGTATGAGTAGAAAGAACACTTTGGGACAAGGGGTAGTAAAATAATGAACAATAAAACAAAAACAACAAACAAATTAAAAACTGATTTGTATGACACTTTCTATATGAATGGATGTTAGTATGTGCGTGTGTGTATGAAAATGAAGTACAGGAAAAGGAAGGAAAGAGGAGGAGGAGGGATTTTGTTGTTTTACAACCACTTATTCATTAGTTTATGTATGTGTTTGTGTTTGTACTTTTAAGGGCGATATTCTTTTTTCTTATTGTCTTTTTTGTTGTTATTTGTAATTAAGTACTTGTTGTTAGTGTTGCTTATTTGTCTCTGTGTGTAATTTTTTTTAAGTTTGTGGTTGTCGCTTTATGTTGTTGTTGTTTTTTAACGAAACCCATCCATCAATAAATTTTTTGAACGATAGTTTTTCTGAATTGATCTGATATTTAAAATTAGTTGCTGTCTTTAGTTCGTCGTTGCAAGTTGTTCCTTTAGATACAAAACAAAGAAAAAAATTCAAATCGTGTCTCTTAAAAAAACGTTAACTAACGCGTAACGGTTTCTTAAATTTGAAAATAATTAAATTTTAAAAAAATTTAAAAAATATCAAAAATTACAAAAGAAATTTAAGAAAAATTTTAAAAAGAATTTAAAAGTTAACTTAAAGCACAAAATATTTTATATTATAACAAATATTAATAAAAAAATAAAACCAATTTAAGAAAAAAAATAATATTAAGGATACACGACCAAATAATTATGGAATACAATTTATCAATAAGGTGCAGTGAGAAAACCAATTAGTATTATAAAAATATATAATAAAAACTGATCATTATAAAATACTTTTGCATAAATTTTTTATGAAAAAAGACAATTTATAAAAAACTATTCCTTTTCTTTGCAAAAATTCAATTAATGCTCTTGTTAGGATTTTGGAAATGTTTAGTTATCAAAATTTTTAAAAATATTCGAATAATACTGAACTTTAAATTGTAAAGGAAACTGAACATACAACTATGGGCTTCCGATCGCCTAATATACTTTACTTAAGTTTCTCTATTCTAAGCTAGAACCTATATATAGCATGTGCTTAGAGTATATCTTTATTTTGAAGATCAAGAAGGCAAAGTCACACAAGAATTGCTTTATGATCGACCAATTCCACTCCTATATAGTTCAAGAGAACAAAACTTATGACGTCAGCGAATATAACTAGAAATTGTGAAATCATAAATCCTTCAGGTCACAACCTGTGAACATGCTGATCATACTAAGGAGTGACCTGGATATTTTGATATGATAGCATTTTAAAGACGAAGCGGATAATAAAGGATTGTTTTAATGAAACATGAGTACTTTAGTATAAAATGACGAATATATTAAAGGCTCCAAACATTTAAAGTGGTTAAATAAATATCTAAGAAAATAAAAATTTGAAAAGAATTAGACCAACACAATTCAATGGATACTCTATATTAATAATTTAAATTCCGAGGACTTCGAAAAATAAGCTACTTGTTCACTGTGAAATTTTTATATAAGACCCAAAGGATTCAAATGAAGGGACTATGAAAACTAAAATTTTGTAATATTCAGACAATATTGTCAAAATCGAATGAAACCGGTAAACAATTTTGGATGTAGATTTTTGTTGCGATTAAGGGTGAATTTTTTCCAAAAAATGTATTATTTTTTGATCAGAAATATTTGGAATACAAAATAGGAAAGAATACGGTAAAAAGTTTTGAATCTAAATCTTTGTTTCGATCAAACAGTGCATATCTTCCAAAATGTTGTTTCTGATCAGAAAGTCATGTGCAAGCAATGTTCTAATATGTCGAGCTCAACAAAGTCCAACTCTGCTAATCCAGATACATTTTTAGACCAACGGCCACTGAATTAGCACTGGTTGTTTCGGCAACAACATCTACAGATATATTTGGTGGCCGGTAGTAAGCCACTAATCTATGACTCACTTTTTTAACCGAAATTCTCTTTAAGCGTTTGCAGTCTCAACCATTATTCTCCTAAAAGTCTTCTCCAGAATAGGAAGTTTTCAAATTTTATCTCGTGTTATCAAATACTATGTGTCAGGGAAGTATACAGTACTAGTACAAGATAAAATGTTTGAGGGGGAAGGGGTGTGAATTGAAGTGCCATATGCTTAACTGACAGGCATGGTAATGATTACACAAAGTAATTCATTTCATGGTCAATTACTTGCAATATGTAATTGAGCAATAACCAATTGCAATTACTTGTAATTGTAATTGAACTTTTTCCAATTACAATTTCTTGTAATGTGCAATTGACCAATAACCAATTAATTACTTGTAATTGTAACAGAAGTTTCCAATCAAAATTACTTGTAATTGTAATTAAGATATTACTAATTACAAATTACATGTAATTATAAGGAACAAAATTCACAATTACAACTAATTGTAATTGGAAATTCTTCAATTACAAGTAAATGTAATTGGCAAAACTTCAATTACCATTACTAGTAACTGTAATGGGTAAAGTTTCAATTATAATTACTTCAAATGTAATTGAAATTGAAAATGTAGTCATTGCCCCCCAAGCCTCATAACTGAGTACCTGTCTTGACGAACTAATCTTACGTTGGTCTTTTTCAAACACTGGGTGGACCAGAAACGGTTCACCAAATGCTGTTTATAACATAATTCTAAAGGATCATGAGCTAGTCTCGTTGCATCATGAGTGAAACCCAAACGGAATTTCTAGATGTACCTAATTTTTAAATGATGTTCACTTTCTCGATATGACTGACTTTTAAAGGGACTTAGGTCGGAATTTTCACCGATATTATGAAGATTTAAACTGGATTTAAACTTCTTGTCACATAGTTTTGACCAAATTGCAAGTTTTTCGATCTTTTTTAAATTTGTATAACTAATGAATGTTTTTTCCCTGAATTATATGCTAAAGTATAATGATATATAATTTTTACTCAATATATATGACCATGACTGTATATTCAGCCAATTTATAGAACTCCATCTACTGGAATAGTTTAAAAAATGTATTCGCTCTTGAAAAAAAAACAATTAATTAAACCAAAATTTATAAATAACCCATTAATAAATTATAGGAAAAGTGTAACCTTAATTAGAATGTCAATTATATTTTTTTAAATTAGTTTTTTCTTTATATATAGAAACACACAAATTACAAATTATGAAACGTAGAAAAAATCAATTTGTATATAAAAACCAAAAACAACAACAAGAACAAAAGCAACCTGCTAAAGGAGTCATGTCATGGGATTGCTATATAAAAGTTCCAAACTCTTGAAAATAATTCTGGGTAAGTTAAAGTAAATAAATTTAAAAATTTTTTTAATATAAAATTTAAGTAAAACAACGTAAACATTCGATTGTTTTAATGGAAATTTAAATTGGAATGTAAATGTAAAGCATCCCTGAATGGCAGACAAATGTATTTCTTACCCTAGTAAATAGTAGATATAGAACAATCATGCGAGTCCATTTTATAAATGTAGATATACACAGATAGACAAACACCATCAATATGTGTATATACTACAACTACATGCATACATGTAAAATATGTGGTGTATAACGCTGTTATAACGAAATGGGGCGGAGTTTTATGAACATGAACAGTGGTTTTAAAACTGAAAAAATTTATTAATTTTAAAGTAATTGTACTTTTTAATAGATATATAGACAAACTACATACGATTTCAAATTAATATAGTTCTATTTAAGTCAAAAAAGAACTAGAAGGAATGAACAAGTTTAGAACCTGAGAATTAAACTAAGCATACACCTTATATAGTATAGTATTGCAAATAACTCCGAATAATATATAGATTTAATCGTTATCTAATGATGGCTAGGAAGATGTCTAAAATACATATATCCTTATCTTTCCCACTTGTCGAGCTACATATGTAATCTCTTGCCACAGTAGCCCTTTTACATAGACAATATAGAAACAATAGTCGAAGTCAACTGAGTCCAACTCTGGCTAAACCAGAAACTTTTTCCGACCAAAGTCGTACAATTATACCACTAAAGTGGGACTTGGTCGGTGGCCGGAAACAGGCATTAGTCGTTTTTTTATCTTAATCTTCCCGTGTTTGGGTTTAAACCACTACATGATGCCTGAATGGTATTCTTCTGAATAGGGCAAGTCCTACAACCTTTTCTCCTGGTACCAGATATTAATCTCAATCACTGGCGGAAACTATAACAAAGTGAAATGCTCCGGGGGAACTGAAATTGCGCAATGTGTCCAATGTGTGTTGCTGAAATACAAGTATCTTATAGTTCAAATGATCAACACGCCATCCTGTTTAAGCCAATAATTACACAGGTCAATAAAATTTAAAAAGTTGAACCCAGAGCCCAAAGTAATTTAACTTTTTAAAGGATAAAGGTTTACGTTAAGATATCTCGAAGAAGGAAAGTCGACAAGTAGAACTTTCCGATGTATACCGCCTCAAAAATGGCCAAACGAAAAAACTTATGTAATGAGAAATTCGAAGGCCAGAGTCAGATATAGCTCACCTCAATAGGTCAGAAAATTATGTTTTCTCTGGATTTAAAATAAGTTTGCCCTTGTTTATATCTTCTATTTTAGCCGATAAACAAAGTCCGATCCATGTTTACCCAAAATCGGTAATTTACACAATACAATCTTAATTCTACAACCTTATAGATAGCGGTGTCGATGAAGCCATGGAATACAGACATCTTAGGTATCGAAATCTTCAATAATCCTATATCAGACATGCTTTCGAAAAGTTTTCTATTTGAAATCTGCAAAATCGGAGATATAAGTAAAAATCCGAGACAACCTCTGAAAATTTCGTCAAAAAAAATTAGGATTTTGATACATGCAGACCTTGTTGAAATATATTGAAATTAAAATTCCACTTTCAATTTGTATTTTAACTCTTAAATATCACTGCGCACACGCCGATAAATTACCACTTTTTTAAAAAAAGTTATGCTCCAGATAAAAATTTCATAAGAGCAAAGATTTCATCTCAAAGTGATAGAGATTTTAAATTTAAGGGATGCTTTACTTTTAAATAATAATTCAATTTTTATGTTATAAAACGTTACACTTCTAACATTTCTATTTCATTTACTACGCAGATTCCCTGGAAGATCAAGAGGGTGGAGCTATGTACATATCGTGCGATGTCTCAAATGGAGGTCCTGTGGAACCTGAAACGGGATATGTTCCCAATAATCCATTATTCGGTTTGGCGTTGGATAGTCCGCAGGTAAATGTTCATTAAGAAGGTGGTTTTTATAAGAAAACGTCTAAAATACTAGTTTGGCCGTCGGTTTTTGTGTGGGAGCAAGTGAAAGTGTTCAAGTTTTTTGAAGAGAAATAAAAAGTTTAATTAAATTTGTTTAAAGTGTTGAAGGATACAGAAAAAAAATTAAGTAAGAAATTCCAATAAGTTTAAAGGAAAAAAGTTGTTTAAAACATTATTAAACAATTAAAAAAGTTCTAAAATATGACGGATTAAAAAATTCAATAAAGAAAGATAGTGAACTAGAAATGTTTAATAATGATAAATTCAAAAATCTCCAAATTCAAATTACGGCATTTGATATCAATCGAATATTCAATAGAATTTAAAAAAATTTAAACGGGAAATTTAATATATAATCAGTTGATACAGTGAATGAAAAAATCTAAGCATACAAAAAAAGTATATAAACTAAATGGAGCGTGGGAATCGTATCGTGTATAAATGAATTGAAATTGTTTTTAATAAAAAGTAATAAATATATAACTGCAAGTAGAAAAAATTCCCCGTCGGATTCTCTTCATATTCTCCATAGTATTGGAACCTTTCATAAAAGTTTAAGAACATTTTTATGGGTCTCGATAACAACAAATTTACAAATATTTGGAAAGTAATTTAACCGAATATCGTCAAATGAACTAAATTACATAGTTTTAAATATATTAAGGATATTTTTAGACATTATATCCTAAATTAAAACATAGCTAGCACTCACAATGGCATACACTCAAAACTAATCATACCTTTACCCTCTGTTCCATTTTCTTCCCTGTGCTCTTACAGCAAGAGTGTGCTGCAGCGTCGTGTATTGGTTGTTTGTCGTGTCAAGGCAATACAGTATTACCGCTATCCTCATTGCCGAACAACGATTTCGATTGTGGTTCCTGTTTCGATCCAATTGTTGTCGGTGATCTCGGTGGATCTGCACAAAATAATTCACAAGTTATACACAATAACACTGGCAGTAGTGGAAATACTTGTGCATCAAATTATTGGTCCACCGATGAAATGGCGTCAACATTTCCAGGCTTGCCACCATTAGACATTGATCCCTTACCCAGTCTCTTTCCCTTTTCACCGTGTGGTGCATCATATAATTTCTCAGCCAATCCCCATCAAGCTTCACTCTCGTATACCGTACATCCGCATCAAATGTTAGTATCACCCAGTAGTCACCAGCATCAACACCAGCACCAACATCAGCATCAGTCAGGAGTAGCAACGTCATCAGCGTCGGCGTCATCGTTGTCGTCGTCCATTGTCGGAGGCCAGCAATCGTTATCGCACAGTAATGCGTTGAATAATGTTGCAACGCAGTCATGTTACTATGATCCCATAAATACATCGACGTCAGTAGCGGGAAATGTCACGGGCAATTCGTGTAGTTCTCAGCATATGAGTGCATCAGCAACAGGAGCAGGTGCTGCAGCCATGTATCCCAGTATGAGTGTTAATGTTAGTATGAACATGACAATGCATGGTTATGGGGCTGCTGATGCTACAATGCCCATGCAATGTTCACAAGTGAGCCTCTTTTTATTTCTTTATTATTATTTTCCAACTTTAGCCATGCTGAAACAGTTAGTTATTAAACTTTTTTAATATTTTTCAACAATTTTAGATGCAATGGACTCCCACGAATTCTTCCTCAGCGGTGAATGTCCTATATCCACCCTTACTTAGTCCTTCACATTACCCAGCCGCTGCCACCTATTCGTTTACAGCTGATTTTCGTGCTCCATCACTGCAATCAAATCAAAATTCCTCAGCCCTACTACCCTCCCTCAACGAGGCCCTCGAAAAAGACACAACACCACCACCAGCACCCCTCATGGATGCTGTAACACCAAAAAGTTTCTATACAAGCACACAAGTGGGTCAAAGCTATTCACCACCCACTAAAAGTCCAACTCTATTCACACAAATGCGTGACACAAAACCATTCAACCAAATTTCAGGACCCTCATCCAATTCCGGCGTTGCCAGTGGCTACGAAGACGAGGACAGCAATGAAGAGGGTTCGGATAGCAAACCGAATCTCTGTCGTCTGTGTGGCAAAACTTATGCCAGACCCAGTACGCTTAAGACTCATTTAAGAACGCATTCGGGCGAAAGGCCCTACCGCTGTCCCGATTGTAATAAGAGTTTTTCGCAGGCCGCCAATCTAACAGCTCATGTACGCACACATACTGGTCAGAAGCCGTTTCGTTGTCCCATTTGTGATAGACGTTTCTCACAAAGTTCCAGTGTCACTACGCACATGAGAACCCATTCGGGTGAGCGTCCATATCGTTGTTCAGCGTGCAAAAAATCATTTTCCGACAGTTCAACACTGACGAAACATTTGCGAATTCACAGCGGCGAGAAACCGTATCAGTGTAAATTGTGTTTATTAAGGTGAGTTATAAAATTATCTGAAATTCTTATAATAATCGTATGCAGGTATATATACTGATTTAGAGCTATACTATAGTAGATATTCAATTCGAAATCAAATTTAGTTTTTACAATGCTAGTATTCTCATTAAAAGCTATAGGATTTACATACGCTGACATCGTAAGAGTAAATTGTTTTGCAATTATTCGTTGTTTGATGAGTTAAAGTGAATAGGCAGAATTGAAGCGGAAGGACCTCATATGAGTCCTCATAAGTATCTGTTAAGGACTAAACCTCACATAACTTAATAAAGTTATTAATGATTATTATAAACTTATTTTTTTTTGAATACGATAATAAGAGATTTATGAGAGTTAACACGATTTTTTAAAGGAGACTGTATGGGGATTAATAAGGACCGATTCCAACGAAATTTATTTTAATGAATAACACAAAAATAAATAACTTTTTATAATATCAAGTTTTATGAATTACAAAAAAGTTCAGTTAAATAAATGAATAAGATGATTCAGATATGTATGTAAATAGGAATTATCGACCTTAGCAACCCACGAACTGCTCTGCTCAGCAGTTTTTTAAAGGGATGTAATACTCAGGCAATTAAATTATTTACAACAATGAAGAAAGGGGATCTCAACAACTGCTTGAACGGATTTTAGCGGATTCACAACCTTCTAGTCTCGTCAGTGGTCACAACTCTAAGTACATATATGACTTCAGAAGTTCCCGAGACCTTAAAGCCATCTTAAGCTTACAAAAGCTATTGGCACAGATGGAATTTCTATGCTGATGCAGAACTGAGATTTGAGTTTATGATGATTTTATGGTCAAGAGTCTAATTACACCCGATGAAAAAAGTCTAAACCCTAAATTATCTTGAAGATGAAGCAGATGTTAAGCCTTTTTTTACAGTCAAAATATTTCAGACTCCATTATAGATATTACAATACAAAGATTTAAATGGCTCTAATATAATATAAAACGGAGATTTTTCAAACTTTAGGTAGTCAGTTAGTTAGTTTGAAAGGAGGATGTATATATGTACATCAAATCCGAAGAAATACACCTAGTCCTCTATCCGGTCTATTGTGTGATCCTTAACCAGTGCCTCAGGTGGGAATCGAACCAATCACCTCCGGTCTACCAGACTAGAACACTAACCTACCGGGCGATATCATCGTTAATAGCACTCGCTCATCCAGTTGAAATGTCGCAATAAATTAGCCTTGAACTCAACGACGCAGAAGGATAACACATACCAACAAAAGTTAAAAAAGGGATAAGCGGCCAGGTTATCTCGTAGAACAAGCAGTTATAACAGATGTTAAACCTTTATTTTAGCTTTCAGATGTAATAACAGGTTTTACAAACAAAGATGTCTTCGCGCTATTAAAACACCTCAAATATCGTCTGAAACGAGGGTTTAGCAAACTTTATGACTCGATATCTTGAAAACCAGATGTGATAATGAGATTCGAATTCAGCGCAGATCAATCAGTTAGAAAACTATACCTTTGCCTTTGAATTTAACATTTATTGGTCTGTATAATAGCTAGATCCAAAGTATAACGCTAGATCGATATTAAATTATTTTAGTCCTATTCCTTTTTTATGGTAAAAACTTCTTCGAAATTACTTAGACGTAATTAAATATACTGATGTATAATAGTTCGAACAGTGTCCCATAACATCCTCACTTATTTTCTAGCTGAGCAAGCTCAATTTTCGGCGATTCAATCGATCGAAATATTTATATTTTGCTCTGATAGATCTTGTGATTTCTCTAGTCTAATTTGAAAAAATTGCTTTTATTAAATTAAATTTTGTTATGGAAATTAAAAAGGAAAAGAGGACTTGGTACAATTTTATAATAAAGAAATTGTTTGATATTTTGAATTAATAATCTTAGCAGCATTAAAGAATTAAAGAGAGACCTTTCCAAAAATAGTAAAGAAACCATTATACTTGTAGGTATAATAAAAATAATTGTACTACATCTTAAAAAAAATCCATATAAATTTATAAGAACTTTCTTTTATTGTCACAATTTTAGATTTTCCCAATCGGGCAATTTAAATCGACACATGCGCGTACATTCGACCAACAATAATGGCAGCAATCTGTTGACGTGACAAAAACAACGCAGTGGAGGTGGCTTTCAACAATATCATCCCCACAACCTTACACACAACCATGCCTATGCAGCAGCACACCATCATCATCACCATCATCATGCGGCCGTTGCCGCCGCACATCCAACACATTCCTTTAATGCCAGTAATTATGGCGATTATGTTAATCATCATACACACACATCTCTCCCGCCTCATTCCCATTTGCATACGCATCCACATCATCACTCGCATCATTCCCATGGCATCGGCGATTATGCTACACCCGGTTCACAAAACTATTCAGGATATTATTTGTGTGCAGCATTAAATAAACCCAAATTGGAAAGATTTTATTAAGAATAAAACCAACAAGGCAAGAAGAACGTTAAGAAAAATGACAAAAATTTAAATTCAACGAATAGAAATATTAATCTCTCAATTACTCACACTCTCTGTCGCTCTTTTTTCTTGATAAGCAACAAACAAATTAAGAATTTTAATAATAAAATAATTAATTAATTGTTTCCATAATTTTTAGCATTTATGCTCAAATTGATATTTAAAAAAAAAGGAAAAATAAAGTAAAATTAAATATTAAATTATATATTTACAATTAAATTAAATTTAAACATAAATGTGTAAATATGCTTCTGTAACAAGTAGTCAAGTAGATTTTTTTTATTTGTTAACAAATTCCCAGTACTAAATTTTAAGTTTTTTTTTATAATTTATTTAACTGTTTTTAAGTTTTTATTAGTAAAGTAGTTTTAATGAAAAAACAAAAAACACGCATAATTCTTAAAAGTAAAAGAAACATTTCAAATTTAGATGATTTCATTTTGAAATAATTGTAGGTCTTCTTTTTTTAGTTCATTTTATTTTCTTTTTGTCCAAATAATTTAAATATTTTAAAATTGTATTGAAATGTTGAGAAGAGAAACAAAAAACAATTTTAGCTGTAAGTCAGGGTGCTTCAAATGTATTTCGAAATTTCCTTCTATAACTACTTTTTAAAATCATTTAAATCTTATTTACATACAATACACTTAACAAATTAAACCAACAAATATTATAATAAAATAATAAATATTATTATAATGAAAAGCTAGAATTTTAAAACTCTAGTCAATCTTTAAGCTTAAACGTTCTTTAATGTTTTTATTTTTCAATTCAATATAATTCAAATATATATTTAAAATTAAAAAAAAAAAGTAAATAACAATAAATAATAATAAATATAAATGATTTTTATCGAAAAAATATGATTTATTTTTATTTTTGATAAAAAAAAATTAATGATAATTTGATTCATTCAGTTTAAATTAAACAAGTAAAAGTTTCAGAATATGGCTTTATATGGGAGCTATACGATCAATTATGGACCAATCCGTAAAAAGTTCGCAGTATGCTATGCATGTTTATAAAACATACTCCAATCAAATTTTATCCCCTTATCGTTATTAAGTACTGAATTATTTACGATTAAGCTTTGCTCTTTACAAAGCTGTGGAACCGGATGCCATTTTCCCGGCGCTTTTGCAGATGGCGGCGAGATTGGTTTCCGTACATCTGTCATAGATTTTCACTGCATGCTTAAAATTAACATAGACACCGTAGTTATGCGACACATAAGTCCTATCGACAGATAAACCTTACGTCCTTCGTACTTAAAACCGTAGAAAGGATGGTCGATAGTATGGTAGTATGAAAGTTGTCCACTATATAGATATCAAACTGTATACACTGGCGATATACATTGACATCGAAGGCGTCTTTCATAACGTGTACATTGATACTCTTATCAAATCCTTAGACCAGTTTTATATTAAGCGGTTGCTCCGTAACTGGATAAACTGTATGCTAAGAAACAGTTGGATAAGCTGCGAGATGTACGATCATGAAAAAGGGTATTACGCAGTAAACCACAAGGTGGCATTTTGTCCGTTCTACTCTGGGTAATCACGATTAATAGCCTAATAAGGAGCCTAACCGAGAAAGGACTAAGACCTGTCAGCTATGCATACGATGTCGTAATACTTCTAAGGGGAAAGGATCCAAATTACGGTTATAGGACACTTCATATCATGTATACTGGACACATTGGAAGACTCTTCACAATCATCGAACTTGCCCGATCGCATAACAGACACAGAATATGTCGAAAACTTAAAAAACTTAAAAACTTAAAATTGGGGGACAAAGTGGGCCTGGGGTTATATATATGTAGACTAATCACAACCTTCCTTTTATCTTTATGATGATAATGATTAATCTAAGGCCATATTGGCTCTAACCGAATACTCTCCCAGTTGTAATGAGAAAAACCTAATATCTCCGTTATTTATAGACCCGATATTCTTTATTTTACATATGAACCTTCTCGAAAGAATGTCTGATAGAAATATTCAAGATTTGGATCTCGCAAATATCTGAAGTCTTTAAAAACTAATTTCACCATTAGGATTCTATATATTAAAAAATATTTTAGAAATTTCAAAAGGATTAACAATATATTCTCAAGATTTTAAAGTGATTTTGCCGTTTCCACTTTTGCGTATATATCAAAATTAAGCCTATTGATGAATTTAAGACCATTCGTTGTCAAATTTATAGGTTGATTTTGAATTATATATAAAAATTGTATGCCTTAAGTTTTTGTATAAATATTTTCATTGGACATAGCAAAGGTAACATTTATAAAAATTTCATACTTTATCGAAAGATATAAAAAATAACTTTTTAAGATTAAGAAACTTGTTCTAATTATTAAATTCGTTACAATCTTACTACATATTTTCATTTAATTTATAAGAAACTCTTAGTAGTTTTTCAATCTTTATTAAAAATTTTTGTTAAAAACTGCTTACCTTACTACTGCCCAAATTTTATAAAGTATCTTGAGTCTTGAGTAATTCTTGAGTCTTGAATAATTCTTGAGTCTTGAGTTTATCTTGAGTCGTGAATAAATTTTGAAAACAGCTTGATTCTTTAGATTAAAGTCTTGATACAGGCAGTTTTTATAAATTGAAGCTTTAAAGTATTCTTTTAACTTTGTGTGGAACTTAACATGTTATATTCTTAAAGGATTTTTCCAATCCTTATAATTTTCAAAGTTTTTTTTTATAAAAAAATTCAAACTTTTATTAAAAACACTGCATAAATAAATAAAGATTACGAACTTAGACTATTTGGAAATTCTTCTCTTCTTTCTTTTTCTTACAAAATATTATCAACAAAATAAAACGCTTCACTATCACTGCCACACATAATTTTCGAACTTTGTGAATCAAATGTATTGATTGATTTACGTAATTCCGATATTAACGAAGTCACACTAATGCGATTTTTGGCACGCTCACCATTAAGCCAAGGATTAATATTATCCGTACTGGAGGGTTCCATGCCACTGGCGACACCTAGTGAGGAATGTTGAGACCACAACCATAATTCACCACTTTCGGCAGCGGTAAACAGTTTAGAGGGATCAGAGCGATGAAAACCAATATCGGTAATAGGACTATTGTGGGCTGAGAGGTAAGAGGAAGGATAACCGGGATTGCGTAAATCCCAAACAGTAATGGAACCCTCTTCCGAACCAGCTAAAACAATATGCGGCTGAGTGGGATGTGATGTTAGACAGGAAACATAATTTGAGCGCTTATCATCTTCACAGGAAGTCATAAAGGCTGCTGAGGGGGTAGCTTCAGCTGAGGAGCGTATATCAAACATGCGTATGACACCCATACGATTGGCTACCAATACTTCTTGGGGATTAACATAGAGAACAGAGAGTAAAGATAAACTGTCGGCTTCTATGGTACGCCTAATAGCCAAATGAGCCTGGCTATCAATAATATTTAAACGGCCATCTTCTCCTACAGTAGCCACCTCCTTGCCATACACCGATATGCCCGTACAACAAGCAGCATCACCACTGGCCTCAAAGTGATGCAACAATTCACTTTTGCCCTCCTCCTGTAGAGTGTCTTCGTCAACAGCTTTCTTGACTTTTAATAAAGTAATGCGGCCTAAAATAAAGTATAAATTTAATAAGTTTCTCTGCTTCCTTAACCCACATACCACTTACCATCACTGCAACTAACTACAGCTGCCTCGTCTGTTATGAATTCTATACCCGTTACATCTCCCGGCATGGCCAACTTATCATTACATCTGGGCACATACTCATTGTAATTATCCACATATTGATTCTTTTGCAAACGCCAAATACGTACAAAGTTTTTGGGCATGTCCCAGCTGCCGCTTAAAAATCTTTCACTTTCTTTCAACTGTTCCGGCACCCAGCGCACTTTGGAGATTTTCTCCGATATGAAAAATGTATTCACTTTTGTATCACTCATTATTTGTTTTAAATATTTTTTTTTCAATTTATTTAATAAATTATAAATGTTTTTGTTAAAAATTATAGACTACTTTTTGAGTTTGTATTTTTGTTTATTTGAGGTTAGGTTTGTTTGTTAAAAGCGGTATTTTTTTCAACAGCTGTTTTAATATGGAGTAGCCAACTACTTAAAAATATAAAGTTGCCAGAGTAGTAATATTTTATCACGAACGTTAATATTGTAAATATGATTTAAAATTTTAAAAACTTTTATAACCGAATTTGTTGTTCTGCAAATCGAATTGTTATTTGAACGTAAAAGTCACAAAAATAAACACACAAAAAAGAAAAATAATTATTTAATTTATTAGAATGAAATTACATTCAACCAGGATGCACTAAGTAAGGTGAAATCGTTAAGGCAGCTGATTTTTATTTGTTTATTAAAAAGTGCTTGGGTTGTGTCAAAATAAATTAATTTATTTTTATTCTAAAAAAAATATATTTGTGTTTTCAAAGGAAAAAAATTTAAAATTTAAATTTATGAATTAAAATGTTCATAAAAAGTTTTCAAATAAGAAAACTCTGATGAAGAAGCATTAAAACATTGTCCTGCTGCAGATACAAGCTAAATGTAACGACGGTTCTATAGGTAATATTGTGAAATACACAAAAAATATTTCTTTCCAATGTTTGTTATTTTTCAATTTTAGAAATTTCATTTTGACAAACCCAACTCTAGGCAACCAAAAAATGTTGTGTTTGTTGCCGAAACGCTATCACCTTACTTATTACATCATGCATTCAACTTACTTTCGATTATATTTATATACTCGGTTTTGAAAACGAAAAAAATTATGGAAATTCCTTTTTAAATGAGAAATTTACTCGGATTCCGTTTACAGAACAGACAGAACTATGTAATATTATTTTGGCCAAATAAGCTTTTTTATTACTGAATAAATAAAATAATACGCCAATATACCGATAACACTAAAGTTCAGATACCGAAATAAGTCAAAATACCGATAACGCTAAGATACCGCTACCGAATTAAGCCAAAATAACGATACCTTATCACCTTTTCAAAACAGTTGCTATCATTATTTATAGGTCTTCTTATAAACCTGCAGCGAAAGATCTTCTAATAGGCCTTCAACGGAAGGCCTTTTTTGAATAAAGCTTCTATCAGCCCCCTAACACAGCGGTTTCCACCATTTTTTTTCATCGCGGACCCCTTGAGGATTTTTTTTATTTTCGCGAACCCCCATACCTGTATTTTACATATGTACTGTCACTTTTTTATCCATATGTAATCCGAATGTATGTCAAAATTGTTATTTAAAATTGTCAAAATTACTATCACACCTGCCTGTCTTTTTCCGTAAATAAATGTAATCAAATCTGTCTATTTAAAGTGTAACCATTTTTAAAATTATAAATTAGGTTATTAAAAATTAAAAAATACTTAAGGCCCAGATAGATTACACAAGCGGCTTATCAAACATACTTTTTTCATTCAAACACACATTACAAAAACATTGCTCGTACGAACACCGATTTTTTCACGTTTTTGTGGCATTTGTACAAACACGAAACACCCTCATACACTACACAACAGGCTTGCACAAACGTAAAATATTGGTATGTTTGTCAAGCCGCTTGTGTAGTCTATTTGGCCCTTTACTTTTTCATGTTCTTTATTTAATTTCTTTAATTTATTTTTTTCAAAAAATTTTATTTTAAAATGTATTTTACACAAATGTACACTTTTACAGATGGAAACTTTGAAAGTTCATATGTATAATACATGTCGTCTAATAGCACCTTTACAGTCTATTTTAAGCTGCCGGCCATATATTTTAGTGTCAGACGCCGCCACCGTTAATATTTGTCGGCGCAGAGCTCTGTTTTTGGCGCTTAAATTCCCAAACAAACATTTCATATAGTTTGCATAAAAATAAACACAACATAATTTTTATCATTCGCATGAAAGTTGTTGATATTTACAGAACTAATTTATTACTAAAAAAAGTAAAGTTTATAAAAATATAAAATAAAACATGGCTGGTAAACGCACATTGAAAAGATCTAAAACTACAAATGACGCTGAAACAGAAAAGGTGGGTAAAGAATGTTTTTTTTTATTCTAAACCAATTTTAATCTTAATTTGACTAATTTTAGACCAAACAAGATAAAGAAAATGATGAAAATCCGCCAAAAAGACGCAGCACCCGCTCAACACGTAACACCCGCTCAATGGCCGAAGAAGGTGGCCAGGGTGCGACGGCTTCACCCGAAAAGGAGACCAAAAAACTTACATTTATTAAATATCGCGGTACGATCAAATATCATACCGATGGCAATGAAATAGCAGAAGCTTCAGACAATTTAATGTAAGTTTCCTAACGTCATCTGGTAGTTTTGTTCTAATCTTTATGAAAATTTGTAGACAATGGGTTGAAAAACAGCCCGGCGATGGTTTAGTGCCCATTGCTTTTGACATGGAATGGCCATTTTCATTTAAAACTGGTCCCGGCAAATCGGCGGTTATACAAATTTGTGCCGAATTAACTACATGTTATATATTTCAATTGACAAATCTCAAGAAACTGCCAGCTGCCCTGGTGGCTTTGCTCAAGCACAAGCGTGTACGTTTGCATGGTGTTAATGTGAAAAAGTAAGTCGAATTTATATTGTATGTTTCTTTAATTCGTGAGTTATGTTTTGGGAAACAGTCAAATAAGGAGTTTTTTTAAGATGATATTTGAGGAAGTTGTTCTTAAAATTGGATTGATTTAAAACATATTAGGGCAGAAAATATCGCTGTGATTAGAAAATTGATTTAAAAATGTCCGAAATAGAGAAAATCTCTTGTTGCATCTATCTCAATATAAATTTTTTTTCGAACATAAAATTTTTAATGGCAAAACTTTGTAGATAGAATCTTTTCAAACATAAAATATTCTATAGAAAATCTTTTCGAACATAAAATTATCTGTAGAGAATCTTTCCGAAAAAAAAAATGTTCTATAGGAAAAGTTTTCGAACATTAAATAAATAATGAGAAAGCAGTGTTCGTTCGCATTTAGAGAAATGGGCAGTAAATTTTTAAAGAGAATCATTTCGAACATAAAAACTTTCCGAAGAAAAACATAAAATTTTCTATAGAAAACGTTTTCGAACATTTTATGGAAAATGTTTTCGAACATAAAATTTTCTATAGGAAATCTCTTGAAGCAGAATATTTTCTAAAATATTAAGTTTTGTAACCCTGAAATATTTAGACAGATATGCTGAAAATATAGTTGTACCAATATACTTCAGTTTTTTTCCCCGCATCTTATTGAGGAAAAGTTTTTTTCTCCGTTTTTCTAATAATACTAACCCGATTGTCCCCAAATTTAGTGATTTTCGTAAATTAGGTCGTGATTTCCCTGAAGTGAACTCCGATGATCTCATTGTTAATGGTTTAGACTTGGGTGTTTGGTGCAATGAAGTTTGTGAGACTGGAGGTCGCTGGAGTTTAGATCGCTTAGCTAATTATGCGGTAGGTTCAAAAACTCATTCTTCCAATTGACAATTTCTTTATATACAATTTTTCTAATTTAAAAATAAAATAAAAAAAAAATGATCCACAAATTCAGGTGGAAAAAGCTATAGATAAAAACAAAAAGGTGCGCATGAGTAAATGGCATGTTATACCTTTGGATGAAGATCAACTCATGTATGCTGCAATTGATGTTTATGTAAGTTTTTAGATTTTACTTTATATAATAGATATTTAATTTCTGATGTAATTAACAGATTGGTCAACTTATTTATCTGGAGTTGGAGAAGAGAGCCAAATTAAAAGAAACAAATGAGGCGGCTTTTATAGAGAAAAATGGTGAAGCTGCCTTTAAAGCTGTTAAGGCTTTGGGTGAAAATTTTATCACTGAAAAAGCCAATGAAGTTGCAATTTAAGAAAACAAATTTATTTATAGTTTTTATATTAAGAAAATTACTCGATTGTTAATAAATTAATGTTTAAAAAGGTACAAAATGTTATCAAAATAAAAGACTAAGGATTTTTTTTATAAAGTTTTCAAAAAAAAATAAAATATATATTTTTATTAAACAACTCCCACTGACTCTTTTTAACAATTGCAATTTTAATTCATTGATTTATGTTTTTCATCACCTTAAGAAATCAATGGACGTCTGCGTCCTGCTATGGCCTCAATTTTTCGTTTCAATACTTGATTATCTAAATCAATTTGTCTCTGTTGCTTTTTGCGATTTACGGCTGAGGTGGTAAGACGTGTGTTGGTTTGAGAAGGTATCTGAGAAAGAGGAAAATTTTATTATTATTATTTTTTTTTAATTTTATATTTAACCTTATTTACCTTTTGTACGGAAGATTGTGATGTTTTGCTTTTGAGTGTGTAGGAGGGCTTTTGTGTTAGAATTTTACGCAAAAGTATTTGATTGTGTCTTTCGATTTCACGCATGCGCTCATTGGAGAAGCTCATGCTCTTACGGGGATGTGGTTTAACTCTGAAAAATTTTTTAATAATTATAATTTCGAAAAATCTTTTCGAACATGAAATTTTCTAAAGAAAATTAATTTTTCTATGGAAAATTAAATTTTATAGAGAAAACGTTTTCGAACATAAAATTTCCTATAGAAAGTCTTTTCGAACATGAAATTATCTAAAGAAAATGTTTTCGAAAATAAAATTTTCTACGGAAAATGTTTTCGAACATGAAATTTTTTAAAGAAAATATTTTCGAACATTAAACTTTGTATAGAAAATGTTGTCGAACATAAAATTTTGTATAGAAAATGTTGTTGAACATAAAATTTTCTAAATATGTAAAATGTTTTCGAACATTAAATTTTCTATAAAAAATCTTTTCAAACATAAAATTTTCTATAAAAAATCTTTTCAAACATAAAATTTTCTATAAAAAATCTTTTCAAACATAAAATTTTCTATAGAAAATCTTTTCAAACATAAAATTTTCTATAGAAAATCTTTTCGAACATAAAATTTTCTATAAAAAATCTTTTCGAACGTAAAATTTTCTATAAAAAATCTTTTCGAAAATAAAATTTATAAAATTTTCTAAAGAAAAAGTTTTCAAACATAAAATCTATAGAAAATGTTTTCGAACATAAAATTTTCTTTAAAAATCTTTTCGAAAATAAAATTTTCTATAGAAAATCTTTTGGAAAATAAAATTTTCTATAGAAAATCTTTTCGAACATAAAATCTTCTATAGAAAATGTTTTCGAGCATAAAATTTTCTATAGAAAATCTTTACGAACATAAAATTTTCTATAAAAAATCTTTTTGGAACATACAATTTTCTATAGAAAATCTTTTCGAACATCAAATTTTTTATAGAAAATCTTTTCGAAAATAAAATTTTTTATAGAAAATCTTTTCGAAA